TTGAGACTAGTTAACTCTGTGCATAATTCCTATTTCTTCTAGGGAGACAGCTTTAGGGTTTAAATTTTCACATATATTGTGCTATATTGACAGTTAAAATCTAAAGGATTAAAAAAACAAAATGCATTTTAAAGTATGTGAGATTTGGATATATTTTTGTCAAAATGTAAATTAACATAAATATAAATAGGTAAAAAATGAAATCGATTCTACATATGTTTTCAAAATAATTATATATTTCTTATGAATCATGCAAAATTACCTATAAAAATAAAGTGGAGATTGAAGTTAATATCAAATTTTAAGTCAATGATATTTAACTAAAGCTGACAATTTCATTATTTTTGAAAATGTAATGAAATCTTTTAAGTCTTTTATAAAAATAAAACTCATCAGTCCTAGCATTTAATATCAAGAATTGTGTGAGGTTTAAAACATGTTATACGTAGATCTACATATATGCAAATTTAAGAGTAATATCAATAGTTTAATATTGCAGAATGTTTTCTTGTCGCCAACGCTGATTCCTGTAGACCTGGGGAGGCAGGAATTGGAACAAAGGCTGAGTCCTAAGGAGGAGGGATCCTTGATACGACTGTGGCACTGAAGCCCCTCTTCACCAGATCTCAGAGCGTCAGGCCATTTTGTATAGGTCCAGGTCATGGGCACCAGGAACCCGCAGGTAGCCCAATCCATGGACGCTTTGCTGCTTTCTCTTCCTAGCCCATAATTTGATTCTACCAACCTTTTTGCACATTTCAAGTCCCTTGGCCTCTGGAAGCTTCGTTCCTGGCTTTCTTCATCTTCCAACTGACTCCTTCATCTACCCGAGGCCATCTCCCTGAAGAGTTAGATCCCCCCTCACAACTTGACACACCCTCTATCCCCGCTTCTGTAGCTCCTGCAATGACTGCTCTCTCCAAACTTCAGATCCACGTGTCTTGGGCATTTCCTTTTAGATGTCTCCCAACCTGTTCCAGACTGAAATCATTACAGTAGTCCTCCCTTATTTCAGGAGAGGTATGTTCCAACCCGCCCCCCCCCCCCCACGCCATCCTAAAACCACGGATAGTACCAAACCCTACATATTTTTTTTTCCCTAGACATACATCCTTTTTCGCTTGAAGGAACACTTTACGGCTTCTTTGTGGCATATCCGAACTGTCTGCATCACTACTCTTGCATTTTGGAGTCATTATTAAATAAAATAAGAGTGACTTGAACACAAGTACTGTGATGCCAGGGACATATGATCTGGTAACCCAGATGGTTACTAACTGACTAACCAGCATATACAGCATGGATATCCTGGAGAAAGGGATGACTCATGTCCTAAACCAGAGGGACTGAACAGCATGAGATTTCATCATGCTACTGAGAACCGAGAGCAATTTAAAACAGGCATTGTTTATTTGTGGAATTTTCCATTTACTATTGGGGGAGGGCACGGTTGACTGAAACCGGGGATAAGGGAGGGACCACTGTACTTCTTTCTCCTTTCTCAATCCCCACCCCCAATCCGCAGTCTCTGATCTCGGTTATTACACCAACTAAAGCAGAGATCCCCAACCTTTTTGGCACCAGGGAACGGGGCTCCTATGATAATCTAATGCTTGATGATCTGAGGTGGAGTTGAGGCGATGATGCTAGCTCTGGGGATGGGCTGCAAATACAGATGAAGCTTCGTTCTCTCGCCCACCGCTTACCTCCTGCTATGCCGCGGGAGTTGGGGACCCCTGATCTAAAACAGAAACCCGGGAGCTTCCTCCTCTGGCTGGGATACTAACGATGCGTCTAGCTCCTTCACCTGCTGCTGCCTGGCCCCTGCGCTACCGCCTTTTGTCTGGACTACATCCTTCCAGCCCCTCTCCCTGACCCTGAAACAGTCTCACTCTCCTCATACCCCATGCTCATGGTTTCTGTAGGATCCCTCTAAAACGTGAAACAGAGCGAGTCTCTCTGCCTCACCACCCAGGATAAAGACCAAAGATCCTACAGGAGTCCAAGCTTTTGCTGAACGTCTGAACTGATTACCTTGACTCCTTTGTGCCAAGGGCAGTGTGAGTCACTCAGAAGAGGATTTCAAACCGGGCCTGGCGGGAGGGGCTGCGTGCAAGGGGTGGAGAGGACTGAAAAGCAGGAATTGTAGCAAAAGCTCAGCGAGCCTTCGGTTTGTCCGCACGTAAGAAAGAGAAGCCTGTCCACTTTGTTTTCTCTTTAACGAAAAAGCCAGTATTTTTTAAGGAATGCTTTCCAGTCCCGGTGAAGGAGGTAAAAAAAAAAAAAAAACAAAACCTTGAAACCAGTTTGCCGACGAATCCACAAACATTTGTGCAAAACGAAATGTCAAGGTTGACACTCTTCCAACTCCAGCTTTAGACCCTTATGTTCCAAGATAAGACCATCGTGACCTTAACTCCCCAGGGACGGAGGAGCGAGGGCTGAATTAGCAACTCTGCCTATTTTACAAACTCTGTTCAGACTGCCCCCAGAGGGTGTCATGCTAACCTCATCCTGCCATGCTTCTAAGACCGAGCGACGATATCCGTCGCTTAGCAAGGTTAACAACCCAGCTTTTCATGATCAGCAGACTTCTCTGTGGTCTGCTGTGTATGTAGGGAGACTTCACCAGCAGGAAAATAGAAATGGGTTGAATTTGCAGGACTAAAGAAACGGTCAAGAAGAAGAATGAATTTCAGTAGGAATTAATGAATAATTTCGTAACCGGTAAACTGAAGATGGTCGTGTTAAGATGTTCCAAAATAAAGGATATTTTTATATTCCTTTATGTGTATGTGGCGGGGGGGGGGTGTGCGGACAGAGAATGTGGAGGCTGGAATGTGTGGGACAACATTTCGCAAAAGATCGACGCTTAAAATAGAGCATCAAGAGAATATACTGACGATGAGCACATATTTCTTAAGCAGACATCGGAACCAGTCGAAGCAGGGAGAGCGGGGCTCCTGAGCTCTACATCACCTGGTAAGGTGCTAGCATGTCGCAGGCACGCGAACGTCCAGGGCAGACCTGAGGACCCACCGCAGCTTTGGGAAGTTGGGTGTCCTTCCTCCTAAAGCAGCTAGTCCAGGACACTCGTATGAGTCGCCCGGTAAACCGAAGACTCCTCATCCGCGTTGAACGTCGGTGGGAGGATTTCGGCAGGCGGAATGGGGGATGTTTGTCCGCCCACAGCAACCCTCAACTCGCTGCTTTCGCTCAGCTACTGGTGATTATCTGAAGAACTTACTGCCTTTGCATAGCAAGGGTTCGGTTTCCAAAATTAGCTGCGCCCAACGTGGGGCTCGAACCCACGACCCTGAGATTAAGAGTCTCATGCTCTACCGACTGAGCTAGCCGGGCACCGGCTAAGCGTAGTCTGTTCAGTCTCAGGAGATCAAAATTCATATACAGTGGCGTCGGCACACTTTTAAACAACTGCGCGAGGATTATGGAGCGTTCGCCGTTCATGTGGCTCCGTTCTAGGCCCCTGAAAGTGCAAGATGGCCGAGAGGGCTCCCGAGGGGAAGATCAAGAGATTAGCTGCGGCTCGAGACCTAAAATTTACATTGCGAGGCGACTTACGGAGGGCCCGCTGTGAAAGTGGCTCTGTTCAGCTTCACATGCTGACTGACCAAAAAAGAGACACAGCCATATATATGGCTTTCCCTCATTCTGACGACGATTTCGGAGGACGCTGAGATGAAGTTACTTTAGAAATGAAGATTAGACCAGCAAAAGCTTGTTTCCGCCCGGTTTCGAACCGGGGACCTTTCGCGTGTGAGGCGAACGTGATAACCACTACACTACGGAAACCGCTAGGAGGTAACCTCTAACTGAGGACACTCTGAAGCTACATATGGTGGGAAATTGGGCAGTTCAAGAAAATCGAAGCTGTTCCAAGACCATGGGCTCCTTGCGTTGGCCTACTGAGTTGCATTCAAATATTGTGGCCACACTTCTTTGCCACAGCAGGGCCTGTTCCTGGTATGGCCTAGTATAGGTCACCCACGAGGACTCGTAGTTTTGGCACCCCTCCCCCCGCCCCGCCCCAGGAAGCACAGGTTCACTTGGAGTTTCCTGAGACGGGAATAAAATTCTGCATGCCCAACACTGGCATCACCCAGCGCCGGCACTCACGGGGGGGTTTGCACAAGAATTACGGTCCTGTAACTTTCCCCGCTTTTTTTTTTAATTAAATGACGGTTTTAAAAAGCATTAAGTATTACTTCTATCGCACAAATAACCTACTTGGCAGAGATGCTCTGGGTGCCACAACAGCGTCTTTACTTATACAGTTCTACATCCCGGATAGAATTCTCTCAAGTAAAATCAATGCCACAAACCCAGTATGAACCCCTGCTCTTACTGGAACCCATAAAAACAGATCTTGAGGCACTTGGGACGCGGAGTACGCGTGGTGAACAGCTCCGAAAGTGTTGAATCAATCGATGGCACTTATATCTTTTCCTTTAAGGTAATACATTGATTTGGTTCAAAATTCAAGGGATACAGAACGACATAAACAAAACTGTCTTTCCTATCCCAGCCCCTCAGCCTTCCCAGAGAACCTCGCTACTAGTATTCTTCCAGAGGCTGATGACAATAATAGACAGCTGAACCTAACATCTATGTGCGAAACAACCCCGTAATCGTTTTGCATGACATTAATTCTAATATCGCAAAACCCCCTGAGACAGGAACTATTATCTTTTATATGAGTAAACTCGGGACTATAAAAATGTCAAATACATTTGACATTTTCCTCCATCTTTTTTAACAGATGGTAGTACACACACTGAGTACCTTGCTTTTTCACTTAAGAACACATCTAGGATTCCTTTTTACAGCCAAAGAGTATTCTGTGTGAATGTGCATGCAATGACTTGTCACTATCCCTTTACTGATATATAGTGAGGAAAGTTCTCTAAATAATACGACAGTGATTGGATGGCAGTTTCTAAAATGGGTGTGGAAATGCCAACTATAGCGCGGAGGGGGAGGGTCTCTGGTCCAACCCACCGCACTGCTTCAGGCCCCGCCCCCTGATCGTCCACGATGGACGTCCCAAATCCTCAAACAACTTCTGAGTCCTCTGCCTTAAAGGGCCGGAAATACTTAAGGGTGCTGACTGGGACCCGCCCCTCCACTTCCGGCATCGGCTGTGGAGAGTCCCTGCCGCAATCCTCCGTGTTCGGCCGGTAGGATGGCGCCGGGCCGATGCGGTCATAGCACCGAGAGCGGACGGTCGCAAGGGATTCCGCTGTCTCCCGAAGTTTATCCCCAGTGGCGGGGGATGGAAGGGGATGGTTCTGTTTCGTCTGCGTTCCCCGCTCCCCTGCACCACAGAGACGTGGGCCTCCGTCGTTCTAGTCCTCCCGTCCTGTTCCCGAGTGCCTGCTAGAGCGTCTCCTCGCCGTTTCCTGTCGTCCAGGGGCCGGGGCGGGAAGAAGGGGGCGTAGCACGACTGCGGAGGGAACTCGTGAGCTTGGGTGGCTCTTAGGTACCGGAAGTGTCGAGAGGAAGGCCGGAAGTGAGGAGGCGGAGCCAGGAAGTGAGGAGGGGCGGGGGTTTATGAGGAGGCCAAGGGAGCGTTGGGGCAGATTTGCACTCAGGGCCACCTGAGGGACTTGGTGGTATCGCTCAGCCCCGTTCCCTCCCCTCGCAGAGACAACGTTGTCGTCTGAGAGTAGGAAACTGTGGAAGAGTGGGTTGTCGAGAGAACATTTCTCTGGCTGCGCTTGAGGCAAAGTGGAGAGTCAGGGCTGGGGGTGGAGCCGGGTCGTCAGGGTGTCTGAGAGGGAAGACCCCCGCCCCCCAGGCCCCCACCAACCATCTACACTGGCTGACTGGACACTAAGATGGCTGCCGTTGCCATGGCACCCAACCCTGTGCAGACCCTTCAGGAGGAGGCGGTGTGCGCCATCTGCCTGGATTACTTCACGGACCCTGTGTCCATCGGCTGCGGGCACAACTTCTGCCGAGTGTGTGTAACCCAGCTGTGGGGAGGGGAGGATGAGGAGGACAGGGATGAGTTAGACCGGGAGGAGGAGGAGGAGGAGGAGGAAGAGGACGGGGAAGAGGAGGAAGTGGAGGCTGTGGGGGCCGGTGGGGGGTGGGATACCCCCATGAGGGATGAAGACTATGAGGGCGACTTAGAAGAAGAGGTCGAGGAGGAAGAGGAGGGTGTATTCTGGACCGGTGGCATGGGCGGATCCAACTGGGACAACATGGACTACGTGTGGGAGGAGGACGAGGAGGAAGATCTGGACTACTACTTGGGGGACATGGAAGAGGACCTGAGGGGGGAGGACGAGGAGGACGAGGAAGAAGTGCTGGAAGAGGACGAAGAAGAGGACCTAGACCCCGTCACACCACTGCCCCCGCCTCCAGCCCCTCGGAGGTGCTTCACCTGCCCCCAGTGCCGAAAGAGCTTTCCCAGGCGGAGCTTCCGCCCCAACCTGCAGCTGGCCAACATGGTCCAGGTGATTCGGCAGATGCACCCAGCCCCTGGTCGGGGGAGCCGAGGGAATGAGCAGGGCGTTTGTCCCAAACACCAAGAAGCCCTGAAGCTCTTCTGCGAGGTGGACGAAGAGGCCATCTGTGTGGTGTGCCGAGAATCCAGGAGTCACAAACAGCATAGTGTGGTGCCATTGGAGGAGGTGGTGCAGGAGTACAAGGTGAGAGAAGTAGAAGATGGGAGTATAGTGGGGGAGGAGAGGAAGTAGGAGGAGCTGGGAAAAGGAAGTGTCTTTCCACCAAAGAACCTCTTGCACTGGTGAGCTGATTCTCCTTATCTAAGCACTTACACCTGTACACAGACAAAGTAGACACAATGAAGAAGACCAGGGAAGACTGGCATCCTCAAAGGAAATTGGGCAAAGCTGGTGATGCCGTTGCACTGGGCTGTGTCTCCTAGGAAAAGCCACTGCTGTTTCACACTTCCACTGTCCTTAAGTGTAGGGGTGCAAATGATGGGCCTCTAGAGTTTTATCACCAGTCTGATTTTCCTTTGGGCAAATCTTAAGTCTCTTTGAGATGCTAGAGATGGGAAGAACATGGGGCTCAAAGAACAAGAAAAGGCTGTGAGGACCAGGAGCATAGTAGTGACTTCTAGCGTTAGACTCAAATGCTTTGCACTTGCCTACTAATGGGTTCCCCACCCACCCCACAATGTAGTTTAGTTCTCTCCCTGAAGACTTTTGTTGGATCTTTATAATTCTGATGTACTGGCCAGAACTCCTTGCCTTTCCTGGGGATTCACAAAAAAGGGAGAGAGTTTTAAGTCAGAATCCCTGGCTCTGCACTTACTCATTTGGGCAAGTCTCTATTTACTTAGCATATACGAGCACTGCGCTAAGCACTTTTCATGGACTATCATTTAAAACTCAGAACAACCCTGCGAGTTTATATGGTTTATATAACCATTTTACAGATTGGGAAACAGATTTAAGTAATATACCTAATATACCTATACATAGCTACTAGTAAGTGGTGGACATGCTTACGACATCCCCTCACCCCATGCTGTTAATGATGTCATCACTATTTGGATGTCAGTTAGTTCTCTGACACATGACTTCTTGGAGTTGGATTCTAGTTTAGTTAACATCTTGCCTCCTACTTCTGATCCTGACTTTTGGACACAGGTAAAGATTTGGCTGTGAGACTGCCAGCACAAATAGCACTACTTATTGAAGCAGTGGGACAAGGAAGAGGAGAGGGTAACTTCTATATGTTTGGCACAGAGCTTTTTTTTTGTTTCATGATTTGTGTTTACACACCTCCTGATTGCTACAGTAATCTCGTTTAGGTATTAGCATTACCCCAATTTTAGAATAACATGTCTGGTGCTTCTCAGCTATGTTATTGGTATGTAGCTAAGACAAACCCACATCCCCTCCTGACAGGTTAACTATTCCTTCCACACAATGATTGTCAAATGTGGCTGATTGTTGAAATTATTAGTGGAGATTTTAAAAAGTACAATGGGCCCTACCTCTAGAGATTCTCAATTAGTGACAGGGAGAATATCTTTAGAAGGCCAGCCTAGTGTGAGACTCACTGCAATGAGTAATATCACCTGCCTTTGGGGCTCCACATTATTAGGGGAGATTGTGAGCTCCTTTTGTCTCTTCTTTTTATATTCTCTCAGTTCCTGGTTAACTGTACCCACCAAACAATGTGTGGTCACTTTGTTAACTTGATCCCAGGGTGGAATATCCATGGGCACCCCATCCCTTCTCCTCCATACTCCCCTAGCAAGACTCTTCTCAAGAGCTTCCGAAACTGGATTTTAATTTGTGTTAGCCCTATCTATTGAATGCCAGTCCAGTAGGGTTCTGCCTTTGGGGAGGTCACATAGACACAAATAATCTGACATTAACTGATCATCAAATGTAAATACATGTTTTATTATGTAGAACTAATTTGAGTGATTCTCTTTCTAACTTAGGCTATTTTACAGGCAGGTATTCCTTTCTGATATGTACTCTAACACCAGCTTGCAACAGGGTTGTTATGTAGAAATATTTCTTTATTGAATAGGTAATAACACACAAATGGTGTATAAATAGAGTTCCAAAAATGTTAAAGGTCCTTGAAAATTTCTCTTAAATCATACTCTATTTGGATTTATGCTTATGAATTTTTGTGAACAATTTAGGAAAATATTAAATGGGAAATTTAAGCATCATAAATTCTTTATTAATAGAGTTGAAATTATTAACACTGCTTGAGAAAAGTAGAAAATAATCTCAAAGGGCAAAATCGTGTATAGTTAATGCTATTTTCATGTTATAGATTGATTGTAATATTATTACCATAATTTTTTCCACAACCATTTACCCTGTGCAACAACTGGCTTTTATACCCTGGGTTAGTAACCTCTTTAATTCAAGGGTCATTATCATTGGCAGCTTAAGGCCTAGGTTGGGAATACTAGATAATATTGACTGATCTTTTGCTGCATGCCAGACACTGTGCTAAATATACTGTCCATGAGGTAGATCTGTTATTCCCAACTCCCATTGTAAGATGAAGAAACTAGAAACATGGCTTGCTTTAGGTCACCTGGCTGCATTCAGGTTCAAATTGGAGTCTAGGCTTGAGCTCATCTGTCCTGTGTTACCTCCCAAGGAAAAGGCGGGAGAAACACAGAAGTAGAAGACAAAAAAGGAAAGAGCAAGCAGGTTGGGCTTATCTCACCATTCTAGTCTAACAGTCCTTTAAAGGAGAAGACTCCTATAAATGATTGGAACACAGAGCACAAGTGCATATTTGCTGTGAAGGTTAAAACCTTAGGAGAGGTTTTTGTTTTCCATTTAGCAAGTAATTGAGTAGGAGAGAAAGCAGATGGACAGAGTGAAACATAGAAGTTAAAATAAGTAAAATGGAGACCTTGCCCTCAGCGGCCTCCTATTCCTGGGGAAGGCAAACTTGTAATGATTGCAGTGTCTGGGAAGTGTCAGAAAGCTTGTATTCTTGTTCCTTGGACTCCCAGAGGAAATTGGGGGCAGGGAGGATCAGGGCCATGGTTAGGTAGCTTGGTTTTAAAGGAATAATGCATTGGGCCAAGTGGAGAGGAGCCTTCTCAAGCAGAGAACATCATGGATAAAGGTATGGAGTTATACTCAGGAAAAGACAAGTGTTACGTGGCTAAAACTAAGAGTCTGTGTAGAAGGAGTGGGTATAGGAGGGAAGGTTAGAAATGCAGGGGCAATGAGAGCCTCATATTTCACAAGTGGTGGAGAACCACTGAAGGATTTAAAGAAAAGTATTTAAAGATGAAAGTTATGAGGAAGATTGCCTATGAGGGGGAAGGGACCCTAGGCAGGAATATTTATCTGGTACCAACCTTTCGAGATCACATCCGGGGTTTGTGGACATGAGTGCAGGCAGAGGGTTGGAGCCTTTGTCATCTTCTGAAGAGAAGGAAGGGGAGGACAGGAGTGTGATGGTTTTGATACTTGTGATTTAGATTAGGCTTTGAGCCCCAACCCACTACAGGGAGAATAGGAGAGGTAGGTTCTGAGGGTAGGTGCCTCTCACAGCCCAGACTGTTAATCTTCCTTTTACCATTCTCTCAGGCCAAACTGCAGGGACACGTGGAACCCCTGAGGAAGCACCTGGAGGCTGTGCAGAAAATGAAAGCCAAGGAGGAGAGGCGGGTGACAGAGCTGAAGGTGGGTGAATGTCCTGGACAGGTACTGACTGGCTCTCTGGTCAGGGCAGGGAAGATGGGTTGCCCACTCTCACAAGTGGTGACTAGGTCTCCAGAAGAGGGGCACTCAAAGCCTGAGAGAGGTAGACACCCGCCCAGGGTCCTGAGGAGGGAGAGACCTTAGAAGGTTAGAAGGTGTGTACATTCCCAGGTTCCAGAGTTGGGTGAAAACAGGCCCGGCTGGGAGTGGTTGGGTTGGGTATCTGGCTACGGGCTGCAGAGCAAGCTTATTACCCCAGACACCCAGCCCCACAGCCAGTGTCCCCTACCTCTGTGCCACCACACTGGACAGCACAGGGCAGAAGGGGACGAGGCAAAATTTACATCGCAGCTGTCAGAGAACCTCCAGATCCCAGAGTAGGTGGCAGGTGGTAGACCAACCCTGAGCACAAGAGAGGGCCAGGATATTTTATGAAGGGGGAGGCATTGGTGAGTGTTAGCACTGCAGAGACCTAATATCTTCTACTCCAGTGTTTCTCAGCTATTTTTTTTTTATTGCTTACCTCTCCCCAAGGAGTATTTTTAGATATTTTTTCCCAATTTCCCACCCCTCTCCTGCCCTATTTTTGTAAGGCCAGCAGGCGCTGGCATGGTCTGGTGTTGAGCTCAGACCAGACCAAGCTCCTGTCTGACCTCTTCCCCACCCCACCGCCTGCCAACCTGGCTAGTGGCTGGGCCTTGCCACCTACACTTCAGGGACTCTGCTGCTGGAAGCTGCCAGGCACTGAGTAGTAGAATCCTAGTCTGAGAGTTGGGGGTGGTTATCTTGCCTCTAGCCAGCTGCCCAAATTGAGAATTTTGGGCTCCTGGGGTGCAGAGAAGGTATTAGGATCTGAGTGTCACCGGGACAGAGAGAGAAACTGTTCACCTACTTGGCCAGTCAGGACTTCCCTCCCCACTCTGGCCTGTCACTCTTTGTCCTAAGAACGTCTCCAGCTAATAATACATGGGCAAAAAGTGTGCCTACCTCCAGAATTGCCCTGCCCAGGGAAATGGAATAGAAGTGGACAAAAGTTTCCTCATTACATATAGAAATACCTACATAATAATATCCTTGATTTTGCCTCTTGGTCCTTAAAGTGTAAAATATTATCTGGTCCCTTACAGAAAAAGTTTGCCGATTTCTGATCTGCAGTTGGATGACTTTCCCAGGGTCACTGGTGGTAGTTAGGACCCTAACTCCATGTCTTGAGTTCTGAATTTATTTATTCATTTAAAAAATCCTTACCAAGCTCCTACTCTGTGGTAGGCACTGTGCCAGGGTCCAAGGATCCTGTGACAGTGTGCAATGCAGTGGTGGAAAAAGATGTTAAAGGCACTCCAGTGTAAACATTCTAAATTGAGATCTTAGCCGTGAGGAGGGACGGTGGTATTTATGGGGGTGATTTTGCTTTAGATCTGAGGAGAGGGAAGCCTTCTCTCAGGGAATATGTAAGTTTAGAGTGAGTCAAGTTAGGTAGCACGGTGATCAGTATTGCGGGCAGAGGTGGGTGAGTTTTGGACCAGTGTGCCAGGAGTGAGGCAGTGATGTCCGGTAAGGCCAGGAGGTGGGGAAGGGGACAGGCGCCTCTTTCCATTCGGGATGTAGAGCTCTTTTGCCTTGCATTGAGGGGCAGCAGTTACAAAATGGAGGTTTATGTTTCTGTGTGTTGAGGTGGTATCCACCATCCCCTTTGCATCATCCCAGAGCCAGATGAAGTCAGAGCTGGCAGCTGTGGCCTCAGAGTTCGGGCGACTGACTCGGTTTCTGGCCGAAGAGCAGGCAGGGCTGGAGCGGCGCCTCCGAGAGATGCATGAAGCTCAGCTGGGGCGCGCGGGAGCGGCGGCCAGCCGTCTCTCGGAGCAGGCCGCCCAGCTGAGCCGCCTGCTGGCCGAGGCCCAGGAGCGGAGCCAGCAGGGGGGCCTGCGGCTGCTCCAGGTGAGCAGTGCCCCTTCCCTGTCTGCCCCCAGCACCCTTTTTGCTGTCAGGCAACAAATACCTGTCCAGAGCTGCCTCTTCTCACTGGGAGGAACCCACAGTGATTTAACCCAAAGACCAAAAGGTCTTTTGAGGCTGGAGAAAGTTACTGCTGAATGTGGCATGTGTGTGATTCTACCAAATGAAAAGAAAGAAGATTCAGTTGTAGGAGAAGGGTTTTAAATGAGAGTTAAGGAAAAAGATAACCAAGACATATTGTGAAAATTCTTTTACTGGGGTTGGAAGTTCTTTTCCTAGGCGCACAACAGAATGAGTCAGGTGTGCAGAGGCACAGGGATGATTGAGATGGATGCAAGTTTATTGAGGGCCTTGAGGTGCTTTTCTCACTCCCTGTTCAAGTTCAGCCCTTCTCTGGCTGAAACCATACTGGGAGAAAGGATCCATCCCTGCGCTGCTGACTGTCTCTTTGTCTCTTTCTCCCTCTCCCTCTTTGTGTTTCTGTTATTCCCAGGACATCAAGGAGACTTTCAATAGGTGTGTTCCCACCCTTTATCCTTTGTGACCCAGTGGCATCTGGTTCCCACCCCTGCCTCTCTTGGCTGTCCTGCCCCTCTCCTTCCTTCCCCAGGACCCAAGTTTCTGCCTCCTGAATCTTCCTCTCCTTCTCCTAAGCTTCTGCTCTTCCTTCTGGGAATATCGTGGTCCCACCCCCTGCCTGGTCCCCTTCCTCCAGGTGTGAAGAGGTGCAGCTGCAGCCCCCAGAGGTCTGGTCCCCTGACCCGTGCCAACCCCATAGCCATGACTTCCTGACAGACGCCATCGTGAGGAAAATGAGCCGGATGTTCTGTCAGGCTGCCCGAGGTAGGGAGGTCACCTGTACGACCTTCCTTTGCCTTTCCCTTCATAGACCTGGGTTCTGAGGGAAGATAGGCCCCAGGGGAAGAGTGGGGGTTGAGAGATGGAGCAGGATTCAGGTAGGCCACCTGGAGCTTGAAGCCAAGAGTAGCTTCTGTCCTAGCCCAGGTAGGTGTCCTGGAAACAAGAGTGGGGAAAGGGTTGGTGCCCATAGGAACTTGAGCCTGGCCTCTAGGCTGGGGTGGGAAACAGAACACAGCTGAGGGTGGGGAATTGGGGAGCATTAGGAAGGGATGGACCTTGGAGTTGGCTGCTGATAAGAAACAGTCGGTCCAGCCTTGGCATATTTGTCCTCCCCCTCCCAAGTGGATTTGACGTTGGACCCTGACACGGCTCACCCGGCCCTGATGCTGTCTCCTGACCGCCGGGGGGTCCGCCTGGCAGAGCGGCGGCAGGAGGTTGCTGACCATTCCAAGCGCTTCTCAGCCGACTGCTGCGTCCTGGGGGCCCAGGGCTTCCGCTCCGGCCGGCACTACTGGGAGGTAGAGGTGGGCGGGCGGCGGGGCTGGGCGGTGGGTGCTGCCCGCGAATCAACCCATCATAAGGAGAAGGTGGGCTCTGGGGGGTCCTCTGTGGGCATTGGGGATGCCAGCTCTTCCTCACGCCATCACCACCGCCGCCGCCGGCTCCACCTGCCCCAGCAGCCCCTGCTCCAGCGGGAAGTATGGTGTGTGGGCACCAATGGCAAACGTTACCAGGCACAGAGCTCAACGGAGCAGACACTGCTGAGCCCAAGTGAGAAACCACGGCGCTTTGGCGTGTACCTGGACTATGAGGCTGGGCGCCTGGGGTTCTACAATGCGGAGACTCTGGCCCACGTGCACACCTTCTCAGCTGCCTTCCTGGGCGAGCGTGTCTTCCCTTTCTTCCGGGTGCTCTCCAAGGGCACCCGCATCAAGCTGTGCCCTTGATCAGCCTGCCACCCGCAGGGGCCCCTCTGGTCAGCACTGGTGGGGCGGGTGGTGGTGGAGGGTGGCCCGTAAGTTTGGGGGCTCAGAGGCTCCTCCTACTGTTACTGCATTGCTTCCTGCTCCTTCAACCCAGGACCCCTGCTTCTCCCTCTAGGAGCCTAAAGAACCCTCCTGGCCTCCAGCTTGGCCTCCTCTCACCTTTGTCCAACAGGTCTGCATGGGTCCCTGTAACAGCTGCCTGGTCTTCCCTCCCTCCGTCTGCCCAGGGCCTGCGTTTGAGTAGGGGAGGGGATACGTCACTTCATGAACTTCCCTTTCCCCACCCCTGCTCTTCAGCCTTCATGTCAGTTAGTTGCCAGGCTAGAGGGTTTGGGCAAGACTCATGACTACCCCCACTCCCATACCAATTCCATTTTCTGATACAAGTTTTGGCTAAGGGATTTGGAACCTTTTTCGGGGGAGGCAGGCTGCGCAAAGGGTAGAGCTGGATATATAAAAAACGTCTACTCGCCAGGGGAATAAGGGATTCTAAACCTCCTTTCAATCCCCAATTTCTACCTCCATAGACTGGCCAGAATTTAGCTTCAGTAAGAGATCTGGAATGGTCGACATGATTGAAACTACATATCATTACATCCCCCAATAAATTATTTTCTTCCCCAGCACTCATCTAGGAGCAAAGCTCACCTCACCCTTTTCACTGCCAGGCTCCTTTCCCTTGTTGAGTGGAGTTCCTTGTCGGTTTCCACCTTCTCATGTCTTTAAGTTCCCTCCACTTGGTGACCCCTGATGGGGAACCTGGAAACGGGTTTGGGTCCCCAGGAGAGCCTTGGGTATAATCTATTTTTCTAGTAACCCCTTGCCTTCTGTCACTTATCAGCTCTTGTCCTGCGCCCTGATGGCCCAGGTCAATTTATGTTCCTGGGGAAAAGGGAAATTGGGTTGTGTTGTGGAAATAAAGTTTATTTGCTTCTTTTGTGGCGTCCATTCCTTTTAGGTGAACAGAAACTAAGGATGTAACTTACAAGCCATTTTATTTCTTCCACAGTAAGCCATTCCCTCCGGTAAATGAGATTGTACTCGTCATGTTTGGTGAGCACTGACTGGACATAGATCCTACCCAGTTTACTTAACTGGCACTCTTCAGACTCCGCGCTTTGAGGCTTTAAGGCTATAGTTTTCCTGAGTCCGTAGCTCTCAAGGAAGCCCAGGACCTAGGAACATTACATACCGAAATATTTTTTTACACAAGTGTTTCTAGTTGAAATCCCATAAAGTTGAAGCTTAAGCCAGAGAGACCTTATTACCATTAGGAGTCAAGGGAGGAGGAAATGAAATGCAGACTACACTTCAACAACTTATGAACACCTCCAGTCCACTCTCCACAATTTTTAGTCCTAATTATGGAAGGAGTAAAAAGGAACTGCCATCAAGCAGCAATTCTTCTCTTGAGTTGCCTTACCTTAAATAAAAAAATGTGTATTTTAACAAGAGACCCAACTTAATGTAGACTGCACTAACCTGATGAATTTGTTTCCTGCATTGTAACTCCCTTTGGAGGAATGATGCATCTTTGTTCAATTCCTATGTGTTGAGAATTGGACCTGAGGATTCTGCTAAATCTAAACTGATTGTAGCCCCTGTAGAATAATCAGTCTCTTTCCTTGAGGAACAATCTCTGCAGGTTTAAAGGAGGCCCTGAGACTGAAACATTGGACAGTGTGACGAGGGAATTAAACACAGGCTGACAATTTCTTTTCCCTGCAAAGCTGGTCTTGGCCTATGCTTCGTCTGCCAGGTCTTTAATGGAAGAGACATGTGAACCTGGACGCAGCACAGCACAGGAAGCGGCTTTTTTTGCTTCTTAGAGAAAGACACTCTACAAGTCAGAAAATCAGTTTTTTATTTCTAAAGCTCTGCCATTATCTCTAGCGGGTGCCAATGGTCACCTGCCACACTCGCACCAGGTTGTCTGTGTAGCCAGCAAAGAGAGTCTGCAACAGAGAAATGACAGTGATAGGTCAGAGCCATGACACTCTGCAGTCCCACCAGCTCAACAAAGCTGGCCCTTATTTCCGACTACCTGGTTATGGGTGATTATGTATTCCTAGAAGCAGCAACAGCTAAAAGGATTCATATGCTTATAAACTGGTCAAGGTATTCAAAGTGTTAACTGAAGACAGGTAACCACTGCCCTCCAGACCATAATGCAGACATAGGTACTGTGTTCAGTGGCACAGCTGACTAAGACCTCTCAAATCATCCTGGCTAATCCTGTCATTTTATGTCAAAGATGCTGGTCTTATAACTGGCAAATAAGACACACTAAGCACAGAAAAAAGGTAGAAGCCAAGTCACCTGAAGACACACCCACTTACCTGGCCATCAGCAGACCAGGCCAGAGAGGTGCACTGGGGTGGCTCTGCCTTGCTGCTGGTACTGATAACTTCTTGCTTCAATTCATCCACAATGATCTTGCCCTCCAAGTCCTGGGGAAGGAATAAAATCAGGATGAGGAAACTTTTAGCACTTTAATGCCATTGACGCTAAACAGGCCCCCTTTCGAAACCCTTTTAATTTGTAACTCAGTGACCTCAACAGGATATTTTTTGCCCCACTCCCACCCCCCATGTGGCAATGCCTAAAAGGCATTTTTCGTGGTCAGAGAAGGTTTGCTATAGGTATCTAGTGGAAAGTAAAGACCCGGGATGCTACTAAAATCCTAAAATGCGCATCACTGCCCCCTCCCCCCACCAAATTATCAAGACCAAAACGTCAACTCTGCTGAGGCTGAATAAACTGCTATAATTTGCCATCCCTTTTAGTAGGCAAAGATCTCCCAACCACTGCAAACCCCAATCCCAGTAAGTTTTGACTAGCTCTTCTTGGGTTTCCAGTGACAACCTGACAGCAGATATTTACAAGTTTGAATCCAAGCAGTGAGTAGAAGACACATCAGGAAACCACAAGGCAGCCAGTGCTCACAGAGTACAGACAAGTACTTGGCCTCAACTGCAACCTACTCACCCAGATCTTGATGCTGGGGCCCGTGGCAGCACAGAGCCAGTAGCGGTTGGGGCTGAAGCACAGGGCGTTGATGATATCCCCACCATCAAGCGTATAAAGGTGCTTGCCTTCATTGAGGTCCCACAGCATGGCCTGGCCATCCTAGGCAGACAGGAAAGGTGAGTCAGAAAAATGTGACCTCTTCCAGAGGTTAATGCCAAGCATCTTAAGATTCTACTTAATTCCTAACTAACCCCACCTTCCACTTGTACCCTGAACTTACTCAAAACTCATAACTCAAGTACCAGTATAACCTCTGTTACCTTTCCTTTAAGGCACAACACTTCGTCAACCCTACCAAGAGTCTCTTCTCTGACTTCCATATAAATCACTATGATCAGTTCTGAAAACAGAATCCTAATCTCACCTATAGTTTCAAAAAACTAGCTTTAGAAGATAATCTTTTAAATAGTATGCCTTATCTGTCATTTTCAGAAAGTGATCTTCAGAAACATTTATTCTTGGATTGCTTCCACTTTGTCTTATGCATTCTAAGATAATGTCTTTCACCCAGTAAGAGACTCCTGGCCCATGAGTACCTTGCCTCCAGAAGCACAGAGGGATCCATCTGGAGAGACGGTCACAGTGTTCAGGTACCCTGTGTGGCCGATGTGATTGGTCTTCAGCTTGCAGTTCGCCAGGTTCCATACCTAAATAGGGGGTAGTGATGTCATACATAAAGAACCTGGCTCTAGATCCGTAAGTGCCAGGAGGGCTCAAATCAAACAAAAAAGGGCACAGAATCTTGTTTAAAAGCATTCCTGGATAGGGTAGCCACTTTTTATTCTATCAGTAACCCCCAAAAAAGGCTAAAGAATTTGTCTTGGCCACTTATAGAAAATAAGGATTAAAACAAGTAACAAATGCTCTGTATGTTGCCTTAAAAGGGACTCGGGCGCATCAATTAGCTACTTCAGACCAGCTGGCAAGAGAAAAAAGAAGTAAATTTAGCAAAGCTTTCAAAAGAGCGAGCAGGAACATACTCCAGTTGACAAAGGTCCTATACCCTGGCCCAAAGCTCACCTTGACGAGCTTGTCCCAGCCACAGGACACGATGATGGGATTGCTGCTGTTGGGTGAGAAACGAACGCAAGACACCCACTCCGAGTGGCTCTCATCCTAGAGGACAGAAAGGAAACTGAGAAACCACCTGTCCCATGAATCTCTAGACCCTCCACCCCACCCCTCCACTGGGTTATAATGACAACCTTGTATTCCCACCCCTGAACCCAAACCTTCAAGATCAAGGGAATCCCTTCAGATTCCAGAAGCTTGAAATCACCACATTACACCAAAGTTAAGGATGAGAGAACTTTCAACCTGTGCCTCCACTTTACCTGGACGGTGTACTTGCATACACCCAGAGTGTTCCACAGCTTGATGGTTTTATCTCGGGAGCCAGAGACAATTTGCCGGTTGTCAGAGGAGAAGGCCACACTCAGCACATCCTTGGTATGGCCTACAAATCGGCGTGTGGTGGTGCCCCTGAGAGGAAGGACTTGGTCACTCTCTAAACAGGCTGCAAGTGTTCTTCCACAGACAGTTTCCTTGGCCTTATTCCTGTCCCAGTGGAGGTGCATTTACTCACAACCCTAGACATGGTTCTGATGACAGCAGGCCCTTGGCTGAGAATATGCCAGAAGATCCTTTCAGAATTGCAGGACATGTCCTCACTCCCACATGGGGATTGGCTGACAATGTCATCTGTCATCACCAGGACCCTCCCATATGCCTGACCATCCAAAGACTGAGCTTCTAAAACAGAACCATGTTCAAACTCTCACCTACTCCAAACCACAGTATCTGGGAAAACTGCTCAACCAGCCTTGTCCTCGGCGATTCTGCTTGACTAATTAAAAGCAACGAGGGAGGCCAAATAAACACAACACTTTTCTCCAGGTACTCTCTGCTTACAATTCCCACAAGGGACCTGACTGTCCTCGGAAACCACCTCCCAAGAGTATCTATCTCATTTCTGCCCAGCTCTCCCCCAGTGCCCCAAAGCTAAGTGAGCAGCTACTTGCGTTGTGAGATCCCAGAGGCGAAGGGTTCCATCCCAGGAGCCAGAGAGGGCAAACTGGCCATCAGAGGAGATGACCACATCACTAACAAAATGGGAGTGACCCCGCAGAGCACGCTGTGGGATGCCATAGTTGGTCTCATCCCTGGTCAGCTTCCACATGATGATGGTCTTGTCTAAGGGTAAGTAAAACAGAAAAGGAAACACAGTGAGGAACCCCACAGCCCACCTGCCAACCTACTGGATAATCCAGGATGTCTCAAGGTCATTGCTAGGTTTACAATCTAACAAATTAAAGGTAGTTAAGTGGAGAGGGGAACTGCATTACTAGCCAAGGCCAAGTGAATCACTATTCAAGCACAGTCAAGTAGAGCTAAGCTGTATGGTGAGACTTTAACTTTACCAGAGATCATGGAAGCCCTGTTTTGAGATTCAGACCAATTCAACATCTACATCAGCTTTATCTAACGTCTAATGCAAAACATAGCAGCTTGGGTGTGGGAGAACTAGATGTGCACCTCTTAGGACTACTGCAGAGGGCTGCCAGAAGTGCTGGAATCAGTCAAGTCGCTTTACTTTGAACGCCATCACTGAAATGTCGCAATTCAACAAGGTTTCCCATTAAGCGCTAGCCTCACACGGTATTTAAGTGTGAGCGCAAACGGAAGTCAAAAAGAATCCTCCAAACGCAGTCAGGGGCAGAGAATAAGAAAACCGAGAACAGAAAAGGCAAGCTCGGTCCAGCGGGGAGACTGGAGTTATGCGGTCCCTTTGGAGTCCACTCACTTCTCACTGAGCATAGGGCCGGGCGGCAGCTCAGAAACAGCCTCTGCGTCTCAACATGGGCACTCAGATGGCATGTTGGTGTCATCACCGCCCCGCCCGACCCGTTGGCTCCTGGGCACACTTAAACACACCTGCGGAGAGGCGAGCAAGAAAATAAAAGCCCCCAATCTTGCAACTCTCCTGGCTGCCATGGGCTGGCTAATCTATGTCTCGTCCGCATCCGTGCTGAGGCCTAGGCACAGGTCCGCATGCCCAACTCACATCTAGCCTTCTAGGCTGTCAATACGCGTACCAGTGACCCAGCCACGCGACGCGTGCAACCCCGTTATCTTCCAATCCTCTGCCCGCACCCCAGCTCGTACCTCGAGAGGCGGACAGTATCATGTCCGGGAACTGGGGAGTAGTAGCAATCTGGGTAACCCATCCGTTGTGGCCCTTGAGGGTGCCACGAAGGGTCATCTGCTCAGTCATGGCGGCGGCGGGTGCGGGTGTCGCCGAAGCGACGAGGATGGACCTGGATAGCTCAGAGAGACAAGGAGCACAACCGCTCCCGCCACGGCCCCGCAGTAGAAAAGAAAGAGCCGCCCCCTGCCGGAACCGGAAATACCCGCCCTCTCAAGCAAAATGGCAGCCCCCATAATGCACTTCTGCACAAGATGGCGGCGCCACAAAGCGCAGAGGGCGAAGTGAAACTAGGCCTCCTAGTCTCTCGTGCCACGCAACATGATATGGCAGCGCCGTACAAATACATTCTAAAACCAACAGGATCGCGTGTTTAAAGATTCCTCAAACGTTGACTTGGGCGTGATTTATAAGAGGAAGCGGGGACTCGCATGGCAAATTCCAGGGAGGATCGCCTAGCGGCTTCACTGCCCCCACTCGTCACAGAGCGAGCCCCGCCTTTTCCGCTTGGCGGCTCGGATGGCAACACAAAGGGAGCTTGATTTCGAGGTCGCCACTGTGAGTAACCGTGGGCAATATGAAATACGGTACTACATTTTTAATAAACTGTGCCTTGGAGAACTAATTAGCCCTAAGGTATTCCCATGCGCGGTGGGCGGTTCTTCCCTCTAGAGGTGTGTGCTCCTATGGTATTGGCTGAGGCACTCCATGTCCGGAAGGAGTTAATCCACGCAGGACTAAGGCAACAATGGGTGACAGCGGAAAACCGAGATGAACGAAAAATCGGTCTGTAGGTTGTTGAGCGCGGAGCGCTCTCGTGGAGACTGAAAGGCCCCGAGAGGAAGAGCCTCCGGGTTCTGACTTCTGGGGACCCCAGGCCTAACCAGCTCTCGGATCTAGGTGCCCTCGACCGAGAAACAGTAGAATGTGGCCGCCTGGTTGCCTTCCGGCCTCCATTTAAACCGCTTGAGCCGTGAATGTGTAGTGCCTCCCACTCCCGCACATCCCTGATAAGAGACAATGTTGGCAGCCCCCGCTCAAATTTTTTTTTTGGGGGGGGGCACATCTTAGGATAGCAGCCGCTATCATCTATGCAAAATAAAAGGGGGATTTCACGTAAGTATTTATATTTTTGTTTGTAACACATATTACATTTAGTTTCTCATCCATGAAATGAGATTGGAAATTATAGGACTCACCTCACGGTGTTGTGGAGAGTAAATGTTTTAAGGCAGATAAAGTGTCTGGAGCAGTGTCTGGCAGGGGAAATGCATGAGACTTACTGAGTGAGCACCTGTTGGGGACCAGGCTCGGTTTTAGGTCTTGGGGATACAACAGTGAACAAAACAGATGGGACCTGTGTTTTGGAGTTTGGCGAGGCTGGGAGAAGGGAGGTGGGGGGCAGATCTGAGCAGAAATAAGGAGATGTGGGAGAGACCCCTGGATAGAGGAGGGAATAATGTTCCGGTCGGAGCGGGGGGAAATGTCAGAGCTGGATTGTTGAGGAAACTGAGGACCAAACAATGAGATGGAGGTGGAGCGCCTCACAGCCTTGGGGGAGGACCTTGGCAATATGTGCTGGAAGGCCTGCAGGAAGGAAGGCAGAGGTTAAGTGAGGGACAGTGGCAAAACTGCCTTGGACTGTGGCCACCCAGGTGTGTGGAGAAGGCCATGATCCCTACCTTTAGAGCACCTGCTCTCTTGGAGTCTTGCAGGCTGTTCCCACTGAACTCCTTCACAGCCTGATGACTCATCGCATGTATGCCATTTGCCTCCTTGGCACCCCCAACTGGCTGTCCTTCCACTTTTCCATCACTGCACTCCACCCTGACCCGCATGTTTTGTTTCTCCCATGGTTGCAGTCCGTGCCTTCACCCACCCCAGAATCAGCTCGCTGCCTATGACTCAAGTCAGGCCAGTGACTCCATGCATCTGGGTGTGTAGATGTGCTGCTTAAGGATTTTCCTGGCTGGTGGCCTGTACATGCAAAGGATTTTCTCTCTGCCCTCCAGCACTTGCTCAGCCACCTCCTACCTCCACTCCCTAAAGACATCAAAATTCAGTCACATTATTACATTTTCCCCCTCATCTGGCTCCGTTCCCAGGGAGCCCCTGTGGAATCAGCATCCCTGGGGTAGGACCAGGAGTCCAGGTTTAAAATAAGCCTCCGAGGTCCCTCACAAATGCTCAAGGATGGGACCATTCTACACTGCCAGGCCCCTTTCCAGAAGCCAACGGTTCTCAGGATTGACCCTCCCTCCCTGTCTTGTCCCACATCATTTCCAGAGAGCTGGACTGTGACCTCAGTAGATGCCTTTCGCTTCCCACTGGTCCACAGGCCTCTCCCCACATGGGTCCCTCACCCTGAGATGACTCTGGCAGTGTCCTCTCCTATGGGGCCCAAGAAGGAATTTGGGTCTTGTCCTGGACCCCACCAAGTCCGAGCTGGTGATGCCAGCGGAGAGGAGGGAGAAGTGGCGCACAGTGGACTTGCCAGACAGCCAGAGCCTGAAGGATTCAGGCTTCCACTGCAAACCCTCCAACAACTGCCAGCCTCTTCTTTCTCAGACGGGATGCCAGCAGGCCACAATGACACCTCCTGAGCCGAAGGAGGTGGTGCCTCAACTCTGGGGACCACTTCGGGTGTAGGGGCGGCCTTTCCCACTCAGCCCCAGCTGGAGCTGAGCCCCACCCACACTTGCTTCTCTCAGGGGCCCCATGGTTCCCTGCTAGGCATCCAGGCCCTGCCTGGCCAGGGTCAGGGGCCCGCCTGGACTCCTCACTCCTCTCGAAAGGGAATTGTGGGTTCACTCTCAAGTCAGTAAGGGGAGCCCAGCCTCTTCTAGCAGGATGACGTCTCTCAGCTGCAGGGTGCATCAGAGAATCAGCTGCATCTCTAGCCAGTCTACTACTTGCCCGGGCCAGGCTTTCAGTCCTCTTCCTTCTCATCCCAAGCATCTTCTCTCCAACCTCTTGGAGGTGGAAGCCTGCTGAAGGTCGCACCAACCTTCTGGGGAGACTTGAGCTGTCTGCAGAGCCTCCTCCATCCTACCACACTGCTGTAGGCAGAACCTGTCAGGGTTGGGCCTGGCCCCATGACTCCTAATGAGAAGTTCAGCTAGAGCAGTTCTTGTTGGAGCCTCTGGGCTGCCCCCTCTTCCAAGTCTCCAGGGGCACCACCTCCATTCCACAAAAGGTAAGAATTCCGAGGGAGAGATTGGAGAAGTTCTTCTAAAGAAGTCTGGCTCACCATTCCTTTTCTGGACAGCACCCTGAGCTTCCCACCAGAGGCCCATGACCCCTTCTCCAAGGAACAGAGGCCTCCATCCCCTCTTGCCGCCATTCAAGAAGTGAGACAGGTCTTCCCTTGAATGCTCAGGTGAGGGCTATTGTGGGTGGTGGTAGGTGAGGAGCTGAGAGAAAGGAAGGCCTACCATATCCCACCCCCCTTTTCTTAATTAAACCTAAGCCTCCTTAAGGTCTCAGGTTACTCATCAGGGACCCTCAGGTCTCAGTCAGGCTCCTATTTCATGCCCTGTGGTGATAGTGTTGCTGGGCTTTCCCAGGCACTTAGCTCAATTTGCTGTCCTTTGGAGCCCTTAGGGCCCTCCTCTGAGTACCCTGAGGACAGGGACTGATCTGTTTCTGCTCACATGTTGCATTCCCAGCACCAGACAGAGGTAGAGGATTCTAATCTTGGTGGCCAGTCTCAGGCTGAGCAGTAAAGGGCACGTAGCTAACTGGAAGGAGGAAAGAACGGTGTTCCCAGAAGAGGGATCAGCGTGGGAGGAGGTGTACAAGTGGTATGCATGCAAGTTTTCTAGAGGGGAGGAGAGAGCGGAACCCGAGGTGCACAGGGAGCCCTATTCCAGAAGGAACTGACTGCTGCGGAATCTAGAGTTTGTCCTGAGAACCTAGGGTGTTCTCTTTAGGATTCTCATCCCTCTCCTGCCTAGACCTGAGTTTGCCAAAGGCATTTGTTGCCACAGTGGAGGCTGGGGTCAGAGGAGTAAGATAAGACAGAAGAGTTCCGAAGCTGGACTTTGAAGGAGAGTTTCTAGGACAGTCACGAATGTCCCATGAAGGGCAGGGCTGAGGACTGGTCCACCTCTCCTCCCTATTTAATGACTGAGGCCTAAAGAATTACACTCAAAAAGGTTGACAAGGTAAGGAAACATGATATAATTACAGGTTCTGTTCCATTCTTCCTAGTGAGAGGTGGGAGTATGGCATTAAATCAGTGCTGGGAACATCTTACAAAGAAATCACACTGCCTTTTTTTTGTCTTTTGAAGAAAATTCAGTGCCCATCATAGGCAGAAATAGATCTAACAGCCCCCCAGAAAGCACATCCTAAGGTATTGTTAGGTCTTCCCTGGGAGATGGATTGTGGGATTCTTGGGTGCTTAAGCAGATGGGCAGTCAGAGGCTGTGGAAGTGGGCATCGTCCAGGCAGAGGGCTATAATCCAGGCAGGACTCTCAGAAGTGCAGGGAGAAGGCACGCTTCTGGCCTTGTTAAAGGATTTAAAGCAACATTAGGTGGTAGGGAGAAATAAAAGTTGACCCAAAGTGCCTCTTCTGAGCTTTTTACCAGGAATAGAATTTCTTTGAACCAAGGTTGGGAAAATACGTTGACATGGATCCTTGAGGCTGGCTAGCTTACCACAGGTAGGAGGGCCAAAGAGGAGACATCCTCCCTGCTCACAGTTGGGTTGCGTAGTGGGAGCCTGCTGAGAAATCCCATCCTTTGCTGCATGGGGAAAGGGGATTCTCTGTGCCTAGGAAGTAGCAGACAAAAGGGGTGTGGCCTCCAGGGATCCTCTTCCAGGCCACCTGGACCACCTTAATCTTTGTGGGCCCTGCTGGGCACTGGGTGCCAAGTGGAATTGTCAACCAGAAGGTTCAGGCCAGCCCTGGAGCTGTGTCCTCTGGGATGAGGGAAAAGGCTAGGAAGACATAAGTGTGACTTTCAGTAGGGGGGCTATGGCGGAATAAGCCTCTTTGTTCTCTAATTCAAATCCCTGAGGTATCCATCCAACCCCTTTAGGAGGGGAAGCGGTGAGGAGAAAAGGAGTAACTTAGAGGGCCATTTCCTGCCTTCTTTGCAGGTCTCCCGATAACAGGATCCTTGTCGCACCTACACATGCAGAGATGAGCTGTTTCCCCAAGCCCAGGAAAGTTAAATTATTAGCACCTTGAGCTGTCAGAGTCTCCTTTTCAGCCCTGTCATTCCTAGCACCTCTCACTTGTCTCATGAACAATGCCAGCACAAACTGCTTTCCTTTCTAGGACTCCACAGACTCCTCACCACCTTCTGTCAGGACGGCTTTGAAGTGAGAAAGGGAAGAACTCACCTGCTTTAATACTAGGTTCTGCCCACACCCCATTTTCAAAAAGTCAGGCAGCAAATAAAACTTTGTTTATACCTTATATTTTGAGGACATAGCCCCAGCTGTTTCTGGGAAGGGGGTCATACAATTTCTTTTGTAGCTAATTTCCATTAGTTTCTCCCATCACACTCCCCAACTTGTGATCTACATGGATTACAAGTGAAACTGGCTTAAGGCCGTTTTGGTCAGATTAAAAAAATATACAAGAAAGCCCTCTTTCAAATATTTTCTCCTTTTATGCCTAAAACTATCACCCTGCAGCCTACCTCCCTTGATTAGAAAAAGAAAGTTGTCTTACTTTTTTTCATCTTCCCTTTCGATGTGCTACTACCCTTTAGGGTCTCAGAAAGGACCAGAATTCAACCTGCCTTTGCATGGAACTACAGTTAAATATGATTTGATAGCCACCAAGCGTGACTATTTAAAATCAATTAAAATTAAATAAAATTAAAAATTCAGTCCTTGAGTTGCACTAGCCACATTTCAAGAGCTCAAAAGGCATATGTAGCTAGTAGTACCTCCTGTGTTGGAGAGCACAGATCTAGAACACATCCATCACTGCAGAAAGTCCTTCTAGACCTGGTGTAGAGGGTCAGAATCCCTGCCTCCCCTTCTGTAATCCCATCTTATCAGTCAATAAGTACTCGCAATAACTTCGCTGTAACTTTTAGACAGGGTCAGGATTGGGGGTGGGAAATAGTATAGAATCTGTAGGTTCTATAAAAGTTCCAGGAGGTATGGCATAGAGGCCAGAGGTTGATGGCCAATGGCTGAGGAGCCTTAGCTTTTCATGAAGTACATTAGGGCCTGATGTTAATATGTATCAGCCCGGGGTCACCGCAGCTCTGATAAGAACAGACAGGCTTTGGTCTTATGTGTTAGTTCTGCATAATACTTAAAAAAACAAAATAAGAGACCACCCTATGGCCTCGCTGAAACTGAGTAGTAACTAGAGTGATTGCCTTCTAATACTCATTATTTCTAGATCTTGATTTCATATATTCCTTTGTCAGTCATAGTCCAATGGCAGTAACATAGGCAGCTCTAATGTTTAAGAAAGGCTTGTTGACCCTGCCATCTGCGTGCCAAGAGCTGGGAGAAGTCTGGGACGTATCAATTTATCTACTGATGTTAAAAGACTACATTTAGAAGGATTGAATTAAACATGGAGGAGTGAGAGACGTTCCCAGATCTCTCCCCTTGAAACAACAATAAGCTGAACATCTAAAACTCCAAAAAACACCCAAACTGCACACCAGCGTGTCTGAGCGTGGGATCTGCGCATAAGAGCTACCACAGGGTCCAGTTCTCAGGCTCTGGTGTCTTAGAAGCCTGCTGTGGTGACTCAGAAGCCCTCACTAACCGTGTCCACTGGAGGGACAGTCACTCTCACCTGTGCTTCAACACTGGAAAAGTGAGCAACAGTCACTGTTCATACTGGTTACAGCAGAAGTCTGTCCAATTCCCCAGGACATTGATTTAGGATATGATAGATAAACACTCCGGGCCCCCTGCCCTGTACTCAGGCTCCATACTCAGTGACAAAGCTTTCCAGACCCTCTTGGGGTTCCAGACCAAGGATGAGGCTGAGTACAACTGCTGGCTACTCTACAGTGATGACTGACAATTACAGAAGCAGAGAGGCACCAAGACACAACCTGCTCTTTGAAAAGCCAGGACAGAAATATGGTCATGTGATATGAGTCAGGACTCTGAGCTCTCAAGTCAGCAGAAATGTTGACCATCCATAGAGAGAAAGTGAAGGGAAATGTCTGATTGGATTCCCATTCCTGTTTCTGCCCCAAAGAGGAGGAAGTAAATTAATAATTTGGGAGGAAGTAGTCCATGAACTGCAGGATTTAATTGTTTTATATTGCAGAAGGAACAGTACCAGCCGGATGAGATCTGAGGCTTCAGGACAAACCCATTTCCTCCAGAGGGAAACAGCCACCGATGATGTACTTCGCCAACTAAGAGCAAAGGGGAGAATCTCTCCTTTTGAATATTATTAAATTTTAATTTAATAATGTAATAATAGGTTGCATTTTAAGCAATGCAAATGTATCACATACAATTGTTTTTAAATATTAAACATGTACAGTTTTTTGAAAAGGATTATTTTTCCAACAAAATAAATATATTTCTAAATATTTTTTTAAAAAAAGACTACATTTAACAAGGTTCACCTAGGTGAGGCTATTCTTCCACTGAATGCTTTTGAACACCTATGCCAGGCACTGGCCACAGGGCCTAAGTGAGGCTAGTAAGGCACGTCTGTGGATATGACCAGTTTCCTTGAGTCTAGGCCAGTGGTTCTTGACCAGGAAAGATCTTGCACCCTCCCTACCTGACATGTGACAATGTCTAGAGATATTTGTTGTCACAACCGGTGGAGAAGTGCTACTTAGATCTAGTGAGTACAATATTACTGAGCCATAAGAAGAGATGAAATACTGCCATTTGCAACAACATGGATGGACCTTGAGATAATCATGCTAAGTGAAATAAGCCAGACAGAAAAAATTGAAAATCACATGATATCACTTATATGTGGGATATAAACCTAAAAGCAACAAATAAGCAGGACAAACAGAGACTCATGGACATGGCCTATAGGTTAGTGGTCACCAGAGGACTATAGATTAGTGGTTACTAGTAAGGTGGGGGGAGTGGGAGGTAGACTGGGTAAAGGGGGTCAAATATAGTGGGGCAGGGGGAAGGTGAGGTAGGTAAAGGGGATCAAATATATGGTAGCTGAAGGAAATTGGACTTTGGATGATAAACACAATAGAATATACAGATGTCAAATGATAATGTACACTTGAAAATTATATAATTGTATTAACCAATGTTACTCCAATAAACTTAATTAAAAAGTAAAAAAAAAAAATCTAGTGGGTACATTCCAGAGATCCTGCAATGCACAGGACCCCCCTACCTACAACAGAGAACTACCTCACTCAGTGTCAATAGTGCTGAGGCTGAGAAACCCTGGTCTAGACCACAACATGGATCAGTTATTCATGCCCAGTTATTCATGAGGTTTAGGCTCAGTGGGATAGCAAGGAAGGCTAGCAAGTGTCTCATAGTTGGGAAGGAAAAAAATGGAGTCGTCAGAGCAGTGGCCTCCATACAGCTGAAGGGCAGATTAAAGGAGGGTGTTTAACTGCCCCTGAAGGCTAAGAGCTAAGGTCATAGTGCAGATGCAGTTGAGGATTTCAGACGTGTGGCAATTCTGTGAAGATGAGGTCTTGCTACAGCCACAGGAGTCGAGGAGCAAGTTTAAACAGTCTGATTTGTGACACAGTGGTCAACAGCTGAACCTGGTAAGGAAGATGTTCAATAAGCAGATGAGCATCTGGTGGATATGGATATACCAGTTTTTCTCAACATATTGTAACCCACACCTCTACTTTTCATATACCTAAAAATATCACATTCTCCCTCTAATGATATTTAAATTTTCAAAAATAAGTATCATGACTAAAATTAATTTTAAAAATGGTAATTTTGGAAGGCAAACTTTATTCAAATGGTGTGATAAATATGTCACATTTAAGCCGTTTTTTCCTCGGTGGTTTAGAAGATGCAACAACACAAGGTGCTTTAACAACACTCTTAAACTGTCTTCTCCCCGCAGCTAAATATAGCAAAAAAATTAAAAACATCTAAGATGTAAGAAAAATATGGAATAATGAATAGAATGATGTCTTCTCATCTCTTCAGACATTTTAGATCCAACTTTTTCTGGAGTATTTATCTGGAAGTAAAAACAATTAAGACTTTTTGAGTTCCACAAAATCCTCTTGACGTTCTTCCAGTGAGGATGGAACATCAGTGTGGAACACATTCTTCCCCAAAGCTACCCTAGGTGGGTTTTAAGAACAAGGTCAAGAACATATCACCCAAAATAGTTTGGATATTTCATTTTTTTTCTTGAAATAATATTCATGAATCTGGTCCTCAAAAGATTGAGCAAGAAAATAAATTTTTAAAAAATGAGTTTGGTTTGCTATCTGCAGCTGGATTTTTGGCAAGTTTTGCTTAAAGTAGTTCATATGAGCAGTGATGTTGGTGTTTGCCCCTTGATATTTCAGGGTCAGTGTATTTTAAGCTTCAATGCGTTAAATTCCGCTCAAAGTTTTAATTTTTGAATTGTTGAACTAAGCTTTTTCATTGGTGTTCCAAAATCAGTTCTATCCATAAATTCAGCTGAATACAGTTCTTTGACAATCAAGGAACCTCAATCTCTCTGAACAGCATTCAATCTTCAAAAACCAAGGCAAACTGAGATCTAATGTACTGTTTTTCACAATAGTTATGCTGACAGCAAGGCTGAAGATTCCCAGTAGACTATGGGCAGACTGCTAGAAGTTGATGGTTGGTGGTGACTGCTGTAGTACATCTTGAATGCCAATTTTCTTCAGTTTTTGCCAAAAATTCATATCTAAAACATGCCATTGCTGTAGCACCATCAACATATACTCCTATAATTCCTCCCCCAATTCAGTTCATTTGATACAGCTTCAAAAATATTCTTTCGTGGTCAAATTCTAGGCTTGTGAAAACACATCCTCAATTTTTAAAGCCTAATTGTGATCATAAGCAAAGCACAATTTTCTTCAGTAGATTCATCTCAGCCAATAGCACAGAAAGATGAGCTGATTTTTTTAACACCTGAAGATTGATATTCTCAGTCATCAGTTCATAGTTAAGACTGCAGAAGTAGGCGAAGAAATTCTGGGATTCCTCAGTTTCCTCTCAAAGTTGTGGCAGCATTCGGAATGCAGGGTTTCACCAATTTCTCCATTTTTTTCTCGTTTGCAATTAAAAGAGCTATTTAATACTAAGCTTCCCTGGCCTTCAAAGATTCCTTTTAATATTCCAATACTGTCCAATCTGTCTTCAAGGAGAAAACAAAAACAGGGAGTACTGATGATGGAAGCATCTGATCCCTCCTGCAGAGTGATTATTTTATTGGTGGCAGCGGGGTGCACGGCCATCCAGGCATCCAGTTATGCCTGAGCTCCAGTAAGTGAAATCTTTTTTCATTTTCTTTTTATACACCCATTTGCTGCCCAAAACCTGACACCATTTAATGGTGCCCTTGGTAAAATCTAAATGATTTCACTTTCATAATCTGATTCTAGCTTGAAGAGTCAAGACAAACTCTAACTCATGGGATAGACAAAATGGAAGATGTAAATAAGTAAGCTTTTCAGGGCTAAAAAGCTTCTCATACAAAATTAAACTTAAAAAGAACACTGACCTCAAAACAACAGAACTGTCCTGGATATGCGATAGAAATAGCAGTATAAATGGCACCATACCACAATGACTATCTCCTGTGGCTACCCAACCTGTCATACGCCTCACTAATTATAGGCCTTACGCTGAATGCTTCTTGCTCTATCTCTATTCCCACTAGCCAAGGAGTTCTTTCCCACTTAGAAAGTAACTTTTTCTAACTTTATAACAGTAAATATGATATTATAAACTACCACTCCCCATACCCTGAAATGCTGATATAATTTGTGGACGGAGGGGAAATACTTTTATCTCCTATTCCTAAAAATCACTGATGCGTCATGACTCCCTGCCCATTGCCCCTGAAACTAAAAAGCTTGATCACTCCAAAGTAGATAAAAGATTTGTGTTGAATTAGTATGTAACGAGAGAAACTGTAACCAGAACTGTGCAATGTGTAACACATTAAATAAATCATCATACAAAATAGTTCCTTATAATGTTATCATGAGTTTTGTTCCGTAAAACTCTAAATCATGCTACTGTAATATGCGTTCATCCATGAGAGGAAGGGATAAAACTATGCACTGTATAAGGAATGAAAGAATATGTCAATTACCATCAGTTTAAAGATAACGTTCCAGGTTTCAAATGAGTGTCGTCTGGCCTTCTCAGTTGAAAAGACTGTCTTTTCTCTTGTTTCAACTCACGTTCAATTAAAATTGTGGTTTCAATTCCTTCCCAGAAAATTCCAGCAGAGCAATGAAAGGTTACCTCCTTTCCTCAGCTTCAGTGTACTAAAACCCAGAAGTATAGAACATAGTTTCTTCCGTAGGCAAACTTAATTATTACCCTGAGGGAAAGCCTGGTGCTTGGGTTTGTACTTAAAGTCAGATTAGTATGATGGAATTAGCTGTGATTTGTAGTTAAGATTTGTGTCTTAACTGTGCACTTACCAAGTTATTGTAAAATGGGGGGTTGGGGAGGATGATGATAATATCTAATATATGATGCCTATAGGACAGTGTTGTTTGTGATTTGAATGCAACCCAGAGTAAGCAATACATTTTACTTTGAGACAGAGTATACATGTGTACATATAAGTTTCATAAAACAATACTTACCCTTTCTATGCCCCATGCACTCTGATATTTTCTATTCTATTTCATTTTAAAATAATGCTAGGCATGATCCATTTATTTTAAGACCCATGAATTGGGCAAAATCCACAGTTTGAACATCACTGCTGTAGGCAAACATGAGGAAATATATTTTATAAACTGTAAAGCACTACTGAGATGTGAGCAGCTGCTATTGAATACTCAGGTTAAGACTTTTCTGGGCCTGGAGACAACCTCTCCTTCCTTGGGTACTGCTAGGAGTCACCTAGCAGTCCACCTAGGAGACTGGTAAAGATGACAGTATTCATGCTGACTGTCATTGAGACAATTCTCTAATGTTCGGAACTAGAAAGCAAGGCATTAACCAAATCAAAACCCAAAGAAGACAAAGTAGAGGAAAGTCACATAAAAAAGCAAATATCTGTTTAGTGCCTTGTGGTTTATAAAATACTTCCACATGCATGATCTCTTTTAATCTTAACAAGCCCAGGGAAAAAGTAAAGTTGAAAAGTTGAAACCTGCTCAAGATTAGACAGTACGTGGCAGAGCCAGGCCATCTGATCCTAAATCCCTCACTCCTTCCACTGCAAAGTGATCAGCACATGAGGTTTATTCTAAACCATCAAAAATGTTTATGGTCTCTGCCTTTCTCTACAGGGAAAGTGGAATCTACACTGAAGGTGGGGAAACAACCCCAAACTTTGGTATTGGGGTGTGGCCAGTTGCTCTACTAATCTAGGACTCACACCTGGCATTTCAGTTTACCAGCACCTATCTTGTTTTGACACTGCTTGTGCTCTGAGGTCCCAAATGTCTACTATCTACAAGGACTATGGTTTTCCATTCCTCTGTTAAAGGTCCTGGAGGCTTGGTCAGGTATAGACTCAGGACTCACATCAGAGGGAAATAAGTACTAGGGATCTGTCACCTATACCCTTTATACTTAGGTAGATTGAAAAGGAATGACAACAGTGGTCAGTTACTGGTGACTGTCTCGTCTTTGTTCAGCTTCCTCTGGGGAAGCCAACTGACCTCAGCCACTGTCTCCTTTGTCCAAATATGCCCATCTCCACTTTACCCACCCATCTTTCCCCAAAAAGAGTTTTAACTAGTAAGTACCTACCTTTCCCAGCTCCCCTGGTTTCCTCTCCACTCCTTTCAAACACCCAACTTACTTGGGAATTAGGCCTCTCACCTTGTACTCCTGCACTACCTCCTGCAGTGGCACCAAGCTGCGATGTTTTGTGGCTCTTGGATTCTCGGCACATCACACAGATGGCCTCTGTCCACCTCGCAGAAGTTTCAGGGCTTCCTGGTGTTTGGACCAGATGCCCTGATCATTCCCCAGTTCCCTCCATGAGGAGTGGTGAATTATCTGGACCATGTTGGCCAGCTACAAGTTGAAACGAAAGCTGAGACATGTGAAGCTCTTTCGGCTCTGGGGGCAGGTGAACTGTGGGGAGTGGCGGGGCGGAAGGAGGCAGGTACAGCTCTTCGTCATCCTCATGGTATTCTGCCAGTGTCTCTTGCGGGTAGACGTCAATTCTCAGGTCGTGTCTCAAACCTCCCAGGTAATAGTCCCGATCTTCCTCTTCTCCCTCCAGGTGCCACACATAGTCCATGTTGTCCAGATTTTTTATGCCACCGTCACCGACTGTGTTCATCATCCTCTTGGCCCTCGAACAACTCGTTAGCATTCCCCTGGTACAAAACCTCGAATAGAGTTGTACCATCCACTGATGGCCCCCATCGCCTCGTCGCCGTTGTCCTCCCATTTACCTTCCTCGTCTTTAACCTCACAGCTGGGTCACACACCCCAGGCAGAAGTTGTGCTCGCAGCCAACTGACACGGAATCCTTGAAGTAATCCAGGCAGGTGGTGCACACCGCTTCTTCCTGAAGGGTCTGCACAGGATTGAGAGTAGAGGCATTGCCAGCCATCGTAATATGCCGTAGGCAGTTGTGGATGCGTCAGCTCGAAGCTGAGGAGCGGGGGACGTGGTGACCCAAGACTCCACAACCCCGATCTTCCCCCTCAGGCCTACAGAGAAGACTTGCTCCCCACTCTCAGGATCTTCTCACCTCAAGGCGCGAAGGCCCTGGGTCCGGATTCACAGCCGCCCTTCGAGGGCAGCGGGGGAAGAACCAGGCTGCAGTCTTCTCTTCGAGGCTCGGCGTGCAAATCCAGGTCCTGCCACGTTTCTTCACCTCCCTCGCGTTTGCACGACCCGCGGCCCTCAGGAGCCGGCTTCGCTCACCCGGCCCCAGGCAACCGAAGATAACGTGAGCGCGCTAACCCACACTCGGGAGGGTGCGGTCTAGGCCGACGGAGGACTACATCTCTATGGTCCCCACCCCCACCCCCCACCGCCAGGTGCCAAGCCAGTCGGGAGCCTCTGCGCCCATCCAGCTGCCCCAGATAAGACAGGCTTCCTGGTAAGAACAAGCGAAAAGGGAATCAATTAAGTCATTGAGCGGCATTAACCGCGCTCTAACCATCCAGGCACAGATGGGTACTCAGAAACGGACCCAAAAGAGCAGTGAGTGCGGCGGCCGGGCTCCGGTGCACTTCCGCCCCTTCTAGCCAGAGGTCTTTGTGGTACGGAGGACTTTGGCTTTGTGGCGGCCGCTCTTGGGGTCGGTGTCTTCAGAACCAGGAAGGGTTCTGCTCGCGGTGGTACGGAGTGGACGTGAAGTCAAAGGCTCTTGCGTGAGAACTTGTGTGCCTCCAACTTTCCTCTTCAAACCAATGTACCCTTTGCTGTCTGCAGAGCCTCCGTGTCTTAACCCCGATGTCTCCCATGACCTTAACTTCTGTGTTCATCTCCACTGTCTTGCGACCCCTCAGACACCTCAGACTCGGCATGCCCTACATCAACTTCTCCTGTAGATATTGTCACCTCCCTCCCTCCATAATCCTTCCATTCACTATCCATTCACCTATCCATGCATGCATGTATTCATCCATCCACCTACCCAATTACCCGTCGATTTTTTGTTATTCCATCCATTCATCTTATGATTCGTCCATCCATTTATCCACCCACTTTCGTCTATCCATGTTATAGGAACATCAACCAAAAAAAAAAAGTGAGACATGATCAGTCCCTTCAAAGAGTACAGAGTTGTAGATGTGTGGTCATCCTTCAGGAAGGTTTTACAAGGTTTGTTTTTTTCTATTTTTACTTGACCCTCAGTAAGAAGTACATTGCACATATTAATCCTATACAGATTTGCACGTATGTAACAAACAAAATTTCTTGAAATTGTTCTTTCTCTTATGGCATTCCAGGCACCGTGATATGGTCCATTTTTCTTAAGTAAAATGCTGTTCAAGACCCAGTGGAGTGATGGCACCCTTCACTAATTGGTCCTTGGTCTGAGGAACATGACCTGACCTAGTGGAACCTTCGATGCACCCTGGAACCCTTACTCTCCCTCACTGGGCCTGCATATGAACCGTAAGTTCCACCAAGCAGGGGCGGTAAATATGCCATCCCACATTGTACACACGTCCTTTGTCATAAGTGCTGAGCATACAGTGAGTTGGGCCTGCATATGAACCGTAAGTTCCACCAAGCAAGGGCGGTAAATATGCCATCCCACATCGTACACACACGTCCTTTGTCGTAAGTGCTGAGCATACAGTGAATGCTCCCTACATATCTGCTGAGTAAGTAAATGAGCCAAGTCCTGCTGATTTTTATTTTCTCAAATCCGTTTTCTCCTTCCCTGTGCCTGCCATCTTAGATCTGACCCCGTCACCTTCCTCATTTCCATCCATTCTGCAACCACCAGAACCATCCATCTGAAATGAAAATCTGACACGCTCACGCCAGGCTGTTTCCTCTATATCTTTAGACACGTGCTCCCACCCAGAAGGCTCTGGTCTCGGCCTCACCCAGACATAATTCCTAATTATATTTCAGGTCTCTTCCCAGGCATAATCTCTTGAAGGAGACTCTTTCCTGAGGCTGGCGCCAGGCTATGTTAGGATCCCAACTCTCAATTACCCTCTTTGTGACCTTGAATTAGTTTCTTAACATCTCTGTGCAGCAGTTTCCTATCTGCAAAATAATGGTGATAGTAGCACACCTGTCATGGGTTGTTGTGAAGTTGGATTGACATCTGTAAAGTGATTGGAACAGTGCCCACTGGGGTTATCTTTGTATTCTCATCACCTGCCACAATATTCCTGTCCCATAGTAGATGGGCTTGGAAGAAACTCTCCCCTATCTCCTGTTCTCTCTCACTCAGAATAGGGTCAAGTGATTGGGATCCTGTGGTGAAAAATAGCCTACCACGTGTAATCCTAGTGGTTCTGAGAGCCTTATATCTAGAGGGGGTGGGAGTTGAAACCCAGGTCTGAGCTGTCTAAGATGGGACACCTATTGGCGATGTTATTTGTTATGGAATTAACAAGTAGATTCCCAGTATACAAGCTGGGAGCCTCCTTGGAGGTCATGGCAGAGCCTGAGAGGCCACGGGATGGGGTAGGGGAGATCTGAGCAACAAAAACTGGAACTGAGCTTCCAGATGGGACTGTTTCTTCATCTCTGCAGGTTCTACCCCACACACGGAAAGGGGGTGGGGGAATGAGCTGGAGAGCAGATGGAGGGAAGAGGGGGCTGCTCAAAAATCAAGTCCCTGCCTATCCCAGCGGAGCTGAGCCCAGGTGGGGAGGACAGCTGAAGGAAAGAGCAAGGGGGCGCAAGTGGGAGAAGATGGTGAGAGAAGGCTAGAAGGAGCATCATGAAGGAACTGGTGGGATCTCCAGGAACATAGAATGGACACGCATTCTCAAGAATGCCTAAGTGAATGAGGATCTGTAAAGTTCAACACCTATTTTCTTTTATCTTCCTTTCTTCTCTAAAGTACCTCTCTTCAAACCCAAGTGGCAGCTGGGAGAGGGCCTTTATTCAGATTCCATCATGTTTTGAAACTTAGCTGATCTTTTCCAGGATATATGGGAGGCTTGGATTTAAGCTCTCTTGCAATCCGCACAACCCCCAGCAACCGAGCACACTCTCCTATTTGCAGGAGGACTACTAGCTTTCTCCGGAACCCAGCTCGCACACACAAGCCCTCAGGTGTCACTGTCCCAGGGGCACCAGGAAAAGGGTAGCAGTGGAGGGCAGTCAGGGGCTAGGACTCAGCGACAGTGGTGGCTGCTAGGGCATTTTTCTCAGGACTGATCTCAGAAAATGTATCCAGGGGAACTCATGGCAGCCTTTTTAGGCTGACGAAGCCGACACAAGAGTTCAACTGCAGACGATTAAATGCCAGCTCCTGGTGAGGAGGTAATCCCTGTTACACAGACACTGGGGACCATTTGTCAGAGGTACCAGAGAGGTGGCCTAGCATGGGCCAGGTCGCACAGGGGCTGACAAATCTGGCTCTTGGTTTCTTTTTGTAAGGCCCAAGAGCTAAGAATGGTTTTTAAATTTAGAAGGAGTGGTTAAAAAAAGAAAACAGAGATAACTATGTAGACAGAAACTATATGTGGCCAGAATAGTCTGAAATATTTATAACTGATGCTTTTTAGCCCAAGGGTTTACTGACCCTTGGGCTAAAAGGCTAGCAAAGAGGACCTCCAGAGTGCCTTCTGATGTTATAGTTCTGGCTTGTGTCTCCCCTCTGGGTTCAAGACTGGGTTCTTCTCCCATCCCTGGCACTCCCTCCCCACAATCAGAGTCTGGAGGTCCTGGCTGGACAGGGTAAGGGTGACCAGTGGGTCAGCCTCAGGTCTGATTGTGGGTTTTTGGCTGGTCTCTCTCTTACAGGCTCTAGGAATATTGGTGGTTCTGTCTCTGCTGTGCTTGAAATGTAACATCCACACAGAAATGTACAAATCATAAATTTCCAGCTCCAATAATTTTTCAAACTGGACATCCAGAACAAGAAATGGACCACCCCCAGAAATCCCAGGTCACCTTCACTTATTCCCCACCCCCAGGTAACCACTATCCTAACTTTAGCTGGGCATCAGTTTTGTCTGTTGGTGAACTTCCTAGAAATGAAATCATACAGTAGGATGTTCGGAGTCATACAGTGCATGCTTTTATGCTTGGCTTTTTTTCATCTCACTTCCCGTTCAGAAGGATGGAAGCTGGATGGGGGACAGGGGAGTTAGGACAGGACCCCCTGCATCCTCACCCCTGGTGCAAAGGCAGGAAAGAGCAGGAGGCTGTGTGCTTTAGGACCCTCTGGAGAATCCCTGAGGGGACCAGCTCTGGGCCCCTCCTCCTCCCATCCCCACCTGATTTAGGCCAGGCAGGGCCAGGCTAGTTCCTGGATGGCAGAGCCACCTTGAAGCCTGCGGCCTACCCATACTCCCTAGCCACTGCCAGGGGAAGAGGGATTTCAGCACAGCCTCACTAATATTTCATGTATCTCTATTCCAGATCTTATGATTCAGTTCAAGGGTAACAAGAAGCTAAAAAGACACAGGTGATACAGCCTGTGCCCTCAGTTACTCTTCTGCTTCCATCTTGGTCTGTGAGCTTCTCTGGGATGTTAGAGGTAAAAAAAAAAAAAAAAAGGCTAAGCCTTCCTGCTGGCCTTTGTCACTCCTCCGGTGGCCAGCCTGGGCATGCCCTGTGTTATTCATCATGGCACCCTGGAGACACAAGTATGGGTGCCGTGAGACCTCAGAGCAGAAATGTCTAAAAGGGCTTCCAGGAGGGCAGCTGAACATGAACTCTGGAGAGTTCCAGGAGACCTCAGGGAGGGCAGGTGTGGGAACTGTAGATAAATGCAGGGAGTGAGGCTGCACTAAAGGTGGCTTGTAAGAAAACCTTGCCTTCTGGTGGGTATGGAGTCTAATATTATTCATTGAATACCCACAAGTCATTATTGTCCACTAATAAATTAATCCATTCAGTCATAATCACAAAGCAGCCAGAAAATTTGGCTCTGAGTATGGGGTCCTGAAAAAAGTTGACCATACTCCAGGGTGGTCAGCAGGTGAGATATATGTCAATGGCAGAGGTCGGGGGATAGGTTATCAGGGTGGCTTTAGGACTAGAAGTCTGGCTTAGCACTCCACCCATGGGAAGATATCCTGCCCTCTTGAGCGGGGGTGGTGGTGAGGGGTGGAGGGCACGTAGAGATTCTAGTTCTGAGCCAGGGTCCGCCCAGTCTGGGCTGAAGGAGGGGACCAGTACCCAGGACACAAAGTCAGTGCCCTGCTGGGTGGGAAGATTTCTTTCCCAGGCAAGTGGGGGCTGAGATTTGAGAGGAAAGCCCCTGTTGGATTCGCAGGCCCCTCTTCTGTTTCAAAGGGCTCCTGGGGCCCTTCTCATTTGCCCCACTGCCTTTGTCCACTTGAGACTGTGTTGGCTATTGGGGGCATCCAGGGGAACAGCGAAGGCTAAGATGAATGTCCTCTGCCTTTGCCCGTCCCTTCTCTCCTGACAGGAGTGGCTGAGGAAGGAACCCAGGTGAGAGGCAGGCATCCGGGCTGGTCCAGGTAGGCCTAGAGCCCCCATCTTTAGCAGAGATGACTGACTAGCCATTTCTACTCAGGAAACAAAAATGGAGTGGGAGCAAGGCCTGGGTTGGGCACCACCATGCTTTCTGGGCCTGTTCATCCCTCTATGGTATTAGACTCGGGACCCCTGGGTTCACCTCCTATCTGGCTGTGGGTGCTGGTTGAATCATGTTTCCTCGCCTTAGGTTTTGCAGGTACACCAGACTTAGGGCAATATGTGCCAGGAGTGTGGGTGGAAGGTAGAGAGGTGTGCACTGGAGAGAGCTCACAGCGCACACCTGATGGGAAGGACTCTCACAGGACCGCAGTGGAGGGGGCAGCATGATGAAGCAGTGAGTATGTCATATTATCAGGGACTTGTATGGATACTCTAGGCTCCCTTTATTTCTGGTTTATGGTCCTATGGGCAAGACACTAAACTAGCCTCTAAGGGAAATATGATTTTTTAAAAAGTTGAAGTGCTGCCCCATTGCCAAGGATCTCATAATCCAGTTTCAGAGCAGACACTTCTGAAGGTCAGGGTGGCAGTGCTTGTGGCAGCTGGAAAGCCAGTAGATTCTGTCTAGTATATAAAGTCGGAGTTGGGGCTGCTCCAGCAGGGGCTTAGTAAGACTCAGGAAAGGGGAAGAAGGCCCCCCAAGTCTTGGGGGGCAGTATAGAAGTGTCCCCTCTGTGGATGAAAAATGGGTTCTATGGAAGGTAACCTTACAGGGTGATCTGATCATTAATTCCTACCTGGGCAGGTCATGGTGGGTGGTCACACATGCCCCAGGCATATAACTTCTTTAGTAAAAGGCTTACCTTTGCCTTAAGCAAGCCCTGTCCATTGTTTCTATGCATCTAGATTAACTCGCCTTTGATCCCAGAGTAATCCTCTTTTGCAGACCCCTTGGAGGCATAACCACCCTCAAGGGAGCACATAATCTTGTTAATTAATTCTATACCTTGCTTCCTCCCGTTTCATGTCATTTTCCTTACTTCTCTCCTTAATTCCAAATGCATAAAAGAAGCTGCAAAAGTGTCATTCTCGAGCATTGAGATCTTGCTTCCAGATAATTGTCAGTTTGGCTCAAATAAACTCATAAAAATTCTCTACAGGTTTGGATATTCTACATCGACATCTCTCCTCGGGACACTTCTGTCTACCAGCCCCCTGCTCCCTGGAGCCCCAGGTTCCCTTGCAGATGTCATGTTGTAGGAAGCCATATTGGAGGAGGGTGAAGAAAGCAAGCAGAAGGCAATGAGGTACAAAAGACAAGGGTTTGTATATGGATGTCCAGGACAGATGTGGACAGCATGACCCTTGCCCTCAGTCAGTTTTTAAACCAAGTAACCAATGAGGCCACTCAGAAGAGTGGGTGGCAAGTGGGCAGGACCCTGCCGCTATCCTATAGGGACCATGAAGGAACTATACCATCCATGGCCTCTGGGCCCTTTTTCCTGATCTGCAGAACTGGACACGAACTTTCAGCCCGTTCTGCCCAGGGCTCACCCTTACAGAAGACAGCCCCTCTGTGGAGGGCTCCGAGCTTACAACCCCCCGCAATAATCAGAGCCATGCAAGCCACCAGTCTAAGGTCTGTGCTTGCCTGAGCAGGACTAAAGCTGGTGGGGTGAGGGAGGGTGGGTCTGTGGGTCGTAGAGGAGCCTAAAGTCTTGGGTGGGTGGGGCAACAGAAAGGTGACATTGCTGTACAAATTCAAACTGAGACTGCCGGGAACCTCCTCCAATCTACTACTCCCCAAATACCCTCGGCCCCACCCTTCCCCAGGCCCTCGCAACCCCCCATCAGTGGGGGCCCAACGCCCTTCATCTCATCATACATCCAGATGACTGTAAAAAATACACAGATTTATTACCGTAAAACCTTATTAATACAAGTCCACAATCCCTTACCTGAAACCCTTGGGGCCAGATATTTCAGAATTTAGAATTCTTTGGGCTTCAGAAAGATACCAAGATAAAAAGAGAAAGGTATCCAAGTATAGATGCTGAATATTGCATAACACTCCCAGGGGGTCAGGGGTGACACCCCATAATCAAATACATTAGTATTCTTGTGGAGAATTGTGAAAGGCACACTAGAGGAAGTAAATAGAGTACGGAGAGCCTCGCTTGAGGTCAGGTTTTGATGCCAAAGTTAGGAAGAAACTTCGAGCTTGTGGAGGTGTTCTGGCTTTCAGAATTGCAGGTAAGGAGTCACAGACCTGTACTTACTTCCTCCTTTACAGAACGGCACAGTTGTCACTGAGGTGCAGTGGTGAAGTGCCTGACCTCATGTCCCGGCTGTGGCATGAACCAGCCATGGGACCCTGGGCCTCAGTTTCCTCACCTGGAGTACAGGTGTGCTAAGAGTACCAAAGAGCTTAGCACACATAAAGTGCTTAGAACCCTGCTCAGTACATGGTCCCACATGTGGAACGTGATGGCATTATGGGGACAGACAGACATTTAGGACACATCCTTGGTACAGTCTGATGGTTTCAGGCTTCTTCTGCACACCGAGACCCTGTAGGAAGCAGGGCAGGCTGGATCTTTTTCTAGGGCTCTGGGCCTCCTAGGACTGCAGATGCAGAGGTTTCAGAAGTCTCTACGGAAGGCTCCGTCAGGTCTTGTGGTCAGCTGAAGGAGAGGGTCCCCCTGGAGGGGCCTGGCTTTGTGTCCTTTATGACAGTGGAGCACTCCCAGCCCCCTGCACACCAGGTGGCCATGAGATTGGAACTTTTTGCTAAAAAAACAAAGGCATGTGGACCCAGAGAGATCCTTGTTCACAAAGGAGACTCAGTTTCGCTGAGATTCTGACGTGAGGCTGGGCCTTGTCAGACACACCCATAACACCATTTCCGCAGGACAAAGCAAAAATGTTCTGTTTCCTACTGTAAAAGTAATGTGCTTACTGTATAAATTCAAATCATTCAAAAGGACAGGAAGGAATATAGAGGCCCCGTTGTTTCGTAGCTTCCTAACAGCCCCCTGGGCACCTGTCCCTCCGAGCGCCTCCTCAGATACAGACACCCACCCCCACACACCCACTCTCACCCTCACCCACACATTCACACACCCACTTTCACCCACATACCCCTTCACTCTCACGTACACATCCTCACACCACACATACCCACACATATCACACACACCCTCGAACACTCTAATCTTTACAAAAGGGGATCACAGGTGCATACAAGAACACACTTATACAGAGGCAGGCACTCAGCCATTTCTTCTCCATGCTCGCAGATGGATGCAGGATGCTGCCCCCATAACTCCCTGAACTGGGAAAGTGGGGGTGAGAATAACATTGCCACAGGGTGCCTGAGAGGCTCCAGTGGGACTTAACACTTAACAGGAAATCAGTCTGCAAACTGTCAAGTGTGAAAGATCTGAAGGATGATTACTGCCCTCCTCCCAAACCCCTGAACAGGAAACATTTTGAAAGGACTTCAGGAAGATGACAAGCCATCCTAGTGGTGCAGATCACTTGTAATGAGGTTGATGGGGGTGTGGAGGGCTCAGTTTCAGGGCAGGGTGGTCCCCCCAAACCCCCCAGAACACCTCCTTGGTCTGTGATGGTGAACTTCTGTCAGCAGAGGACCTGAGCAGCCCCTGCTCTTGCTGGCCTCTGGGAATTATGGGGGCTCCTCTCCATCTATGGGGAGGAAAGAGGAAGGTGATCCATGCCGGCTCCTGGCCCCCACCAAACCCCAGTGGTGGCTCCCAGGTGTGCCCCTGCCCCCTCTATCTGGCTTCAGGACTGAGGAAAGGGGCAGAGGCTGAGATCAGGCTGAAGACAGGGGAAGCACCCACCCGCCCCAGTGCCCCACCTCCATCTTCAGTTCTAAGGCCCCTCAGCTATGCTTGGGGACACCTGGGGCTTCCTCTCCCCACCTGTCCCATAGTCACCTGGGGCTTGCTTGTAAGACTCTTTATTCCTCGCTGTGGGGATAAAGAAGAAAACAAGAGACGGGTAGGAGTGGGGCAGAGTTGAGGCCCTGGATCCCCACCTTCTCTCTCCCTCTCCGGGCCCTTTCTGAGGTCCGGCCCAGTGGTGCCCTTTAGCTGTGAGGACAGCAGGGCCCTATGGCTCTGTGCAGTAGCTGCTGCTCCCCAGAAAGTAACAGTTGTAGCCAAAGAGATGGGAGTAGAGCGTTCCTCCCTGTTGGGCCGGACCAGTCTCAGGGCCTCCCACTGTTTCTTCTCCACCTACCTTGAAGGAATCTTTTGGTCAAAATCACAACTCCAACTGCCAGCAAGAGCAGGATAGAGGAGATAACCATGGCAGTGAGTCCATGACGAGAGGGCGGTTCTAAGGAAGGCAGAGAAAAGGGAGCAGAGCATGGGATTATCTCTGGAGCCCCGGGACCCTCCCCACCCTCCTTGCCCCCTCCCAGCCAAGCCCAGCTCCTTACCCCAGGCCACAGTGAGTGTGTGGTTCAGGCCAGAGTGCTGCACGTGGCAGGTGTACCCGGCTTCCTCCCCAGCTGGCACCCGCACAGCCGCCCACATCTGGTAGGTGCCATCCCCACTGGGGCGTGTCTCCACGTGCTCAGTCTCCAGGGCCAGCTCCTCCTCACCCAGCCACCACCTCAGCGAGATATCCCGTGGGTAGAAACCCAGGGCCCAGCACCTCAGCGTGGTGCCCCTGTCCTCGGTCGAGTGCCTTGTCACATACACTGTGGGTGGCTCTGCAGAGAGAGGTGGATGGAGGATGGCTGGTGAGTGACTGCTCTCTGCCCATCCCTCATGCTTGATCCCAGTCTCTAGCATCTTCCATGGTGGAGGACAGGGAGGAGTTGGTTGAGAGACACTCAACCAACACTGGAGGCAGGGATGACCCACTGCCAACTGTTCCAAAGCAGCACTGTCCTGGGAATTCCCATGGGAGGATGTGACTTCCTGCCCCCACCTCCAAGGAAGGTCCTGGGTGGGGCTCTTGTGTCCCATAGTGATACCTCCCCTTCTTCCCACAGAGACCCTAGGGTTTTCTCAGACTTTACATACTTCCCCTGTGACTACCTGCACACAGCATGTGTCTAATAAGAGGTTGTTTACTGAAGGCAAGAACAATGTCCCTTTCATCACTTTGCAACGAGCATGGTTACAAGTGTGGCTCTGAAGCTGGACAGCCTGAGTTCAAAGCTCAGCCTGACTCCTGACTCTCTGTCTCTTAGTGCTTAATGGGGAGCCATCGTTCCTTCCTCACAGAGTTGTTCTGAATGATATAATCTAGGTGTGAAGGTTCCTTTCACATGTCAACCTTACTGGGCCATGTTGTATCCAGGCATTTGGCCAACGTGTGTGTGTGTGTGTGTGTGTGTGTGTGTGTGTGTGTGCGCGTGTGTGTGTGTGTACGTGTGCGCTTCTGGGCAAGATTCACGTTTGAATCAGTGGACTCAGTAAAGCAGATTGCTCTCCCCATGTGGGTGGGCCTCACCCAATCAGTTAAAGATCTGAATAGGACAATAAGGCTGATAAGAGGGAACTCTTCCTGCCTGACTGCCTTGAACTGTGACCCCGTATTTTCTTGCCTTCAGACTCAAACGGAAACATCAGCTCTTGGGTCTCAAGCCTGTGCCATTGGCTCTCCTGAGTCTCCTGCTTGCTGACTGCACATCTTGGCACTTCTAAACCTCCATAATCATGTGGGCCAATTCGTTATAACACATCTTTCTCTGTTCTCTCTCTGTGTGTATACATGCACACACATACACACATCCGTTGGTTCTGTTTCTGTGGAGCACCTAATATACCAGGCGAAGGAGGCGGGACAACACTTGGTGCTGGATGAGAGTTCAGCAAACTTATTGAACACACATCAATATGGTGCTGTAGGGGAGCATGGATTATTATTACCATTCTCATTACACTGATAAGGAAACTGAGGCACAGAGAAGGCAAGTAACCTGCCCAAGGTCACACAGCCAGCAAGTCCTGGAGCCAGAATGTGGATCTGGAGGCTGGGCTCCAGTGCCTGAGCTCTGAACCAGCATGCTCTGCTCTTGTAATCACGTCTTCTCTTCCTGACATTATCTGTCCTATCCTCCCCCTTTGAAGAACATCTTCCCCATTACCTCAGCTGACTCACATGTCACCATTGAATTAGCAGACAACCATGGTGGGCTGGGTGTGCTGACCAGCCCCACCCCCCAGCAGCCTGTGAGGACTCCATCCTTGGCACCCCCAAGCACCCACATTCCTTACTGTCCATTCCAGCCCATGTACCTCCAGCCCTGTCGGCCAGAGTCAGAAGTTTAGAATGCACCTGGAGTCTGGGAGCATGCTGAGCATGAGAGGTGTGTGGAAGGAACAGGCCGAAGGGCCTCAGCTTCCCTGTAGTCTCCAGTGGCTCAGGAAGTGATAGGGAAGCTCCTGGGGCCTGGGGCCATTTCCCAAGGAGCAGACCCACTGGACGTTAAACCCTAAGAGGACTTTATGAGCCATCAAATTTAACCCACTCACTCTACAGATAAAGAAAATGAGGCCAAGACAGGGTCCCCCCCCCTCACCCCCGACCACACTGGGGACTCCAGAACCCCTCACTCTATCTCACCTGGAGTAGAGGCCTGAAGCTCTCTTCCTGCTCTGCCGGTTGGCTATCATTCCAGGCCCCAGTGGGCTTATCTGGGTCAGGAGACACAATCTGCCCCCCTCACCCCTCCCCTGCTTCTCTGTCAAATGGAACAGCTCTTTAGAATGGGAGTGTGAGGCCACACTCTGCATTGCCACAGGTCGGGCCTTACCTTTCCGGGTCAGGTGCTGGCCTCCCAGCTCCAGGTACCTGCGCAGAGAAGTGAGGCAGAGGCCCTCCAGGTAGGCCTTGTCATATTCAGCGTAGCAGCGCTCCAACTCCCACCAGCGCTTGGTCCGCATAGCCATGGGCTCAGCTGATACCCAGCTCAGAGTCTCTAGGTCCAGTGACAAGTGGTCCTGCCCATCGAATCCAAACTGCCAGAAGCTGCTGGAGCGGCCATCCTCCTGGATATTACAGCCAAACATGCGTTGAGTGCTATGCATACCTGCGTGCAAGAAGGCCGCAATTAGTGGGGGGCTGCAGGGCTCAGAAGCCCACCACCCACAGTGGCCTCTGAATGTGGAGGCAGGGAGTGGGCATTTATTTTTATTTTATTTTTTATGCCTTCAGCACCTGGTCTTCCTAAGTGGTCTCCCATCCAAGTACTAACCAGGCCCGAACCTGCTTAGCTTCCGAGATCAGATGGGATCAGGTTTGTTCAGGGTAGCATGGCCGTAGCCGGAAGTGGGTATTTTAAAAGAATGCTCCCCAGGTAACTTTTATGAGCAGCCAGGGCTGAGAAGTCTGTTAGGCCTCTCGTGTGGGAAGCACAGTCGAGTTCATAATTAGACACATCATTATTTTCTGTGCTACTGAGAAGGAAAAAATTCAGTTATTTATGGGTGTAAGATGCCCTCAATGGTTGCAGAGATGGGAATATGTAAAATCTGGTGCATCTGGCTGTTACCACCGCCACTGGGGGCTGGTGATGCTCATCCCAGAGGACCCTGGGCTCATGCACAGCCCTTCCTAGTCTCGGTCCTTTATGTCTAGTCCTTCTGGGGCCTCTGGGGCCTGAGGGTTTTAGTCACTTGGGAGTCTGGGCGCAGAGTGGGTGGGTGCTGCATGGAGCTATGCTCCACACTGGCACTTCATTCAGTGTCATCAGCAGTCCTGGCAGTGGACATGCTCTCACCATTGCTGCGAGGAGGCTGAGGCTGAGAAATGTTCCCGCCCCTCACCCCTCACTGACACTGGGCAAAACAGGGGTCCTCACCGGGTTCTGTATCCCATCTTGAGCAATCTGCCTAGTTCAAGTTCATCTAGCCTCCCTCCCCTGCCTGGCACAGATGGTGTCTGAGGCCAGGATGCGTGTGATTTCAATCATTTGGGGAGGGGGAAGGGGAAGCCAGGAAAGACCTCTGAGGTCTGCTAGGGTCTGGAACCCTGGTAGCTGAGGAGAGGGCATCATGGGCCCCCAGCTCCGGTGGATGCTTGCTGTATGGCCGTGGGCTGCTTGCTGCAGCGGCAAGTGATTCAGAAGGCTCTTGTGGCCCCTGCTTGGCTATTGGGGAAAGAGACTGGGAAAAGCCATTCCTCAGGAACGAGCCCAGCACCCACTGTCCCCTAGTGGACAGGTCGGGAAGCTCAGCGCGCAGAGCGTGAAGGAAGGAGGTGGAAAGGGGTGGCGGTTGGGGGGCACCCACGCACCGCTGGTGTGGTTGCGGTAGCCCATCACCGTCCACGTCTCCACCTGCTGCACCTCTGCCCAGGCCCTCTGCTTCTGGGTCTCCGTCTCCCAGTACTGGGCGTCCACTGGTGCCATCCACCTGGCCTGCGGCTCGGCCCTGCCCACACGGCTGTCATACCGAATGAAGGGGTGGTCGTCCACGTAGCCTACAGCCAGAAACTGGGGAAGACCGGGGCCTGGCTCTGACAGCGCCAGGTAGTGGTAGCGGAGGGAGTGCGTCCCTGCGAAAAGAATGCGGGTCTCAGGGTCACGTGCACTTCCAGGATTTGCTCCTGGGTCTGGTGAAAACCTACCCAGAGTACTCCTTATCTTGAGCAAGAACTGGCAATTTCGGTTAGAAAGAAAGGGCATCCAAATGCTCTAAACAAAGAATCAAACATGGAGGCCAAAGTTCATGTGCTTCATGTGACTTTCAGTTTCTCAGCTCCTCACTCTGGGCCTACTTACACTTTACACTCATCTCTAGTAAGTGTGATCATCTGGTTTCCCATCTCACAATTAACAAAGGTACGATTTAAAAAGAGTTGTTCTCTTGGAAGCTTAATTTATGTGGAATTATTCATTCCCCAGGGAAGCAAATAAAGGTCGCCATCGTTCTTGACTTGAACCAAATGCTGCCTCAGGGTTGCTCTCCACCATGTCTTCAGAAGCAGCAACTCAACCATTCAACTTGGTGCTGGAGATGGAATCAACTTAGCAGCTGCAACCGACTCAAGCCGATAAAACAAATGCTGTATTTTTAAAAATTCAGCCTACCTTTCTCAGAAATGGCCACGGCTCACTGCCTTACCTAACTTTTAAGAAAGTTTTTGCTCAAATGCCACCTTCTCAGTGAGGCCTTCCTAGCCCACCCCAGGAAACAGTGACCCCGCCACCCCCCAGCACTCTCATCTCTGAGTTATTGTTCTACAGAGATGACCACCTCCTAGAGAATCTGCACTTTACTTGTTTATCTTGTTATCGGTCTGTCTGTCCAGGGCAGGGATTCCTGTATGGATTGTTCTCTTGTTTTCCCAGCACTGAGAAGAGCTTCCAGCACATACTAGGTGCTCAATGTTTGAATATTCAAATGTGAGAGGAGTCAAACACAGTACACTTACAGATCTTGTTTATGCTAGCTAGGGCCACACCAAACTCTGCACAGGCCTCTGTCCCAGGCCCTCCTCTTGCCCAGTATTTCCTCATCCCTCCGGAAAGTCCTCCTGGTTCCATCCTGACATCCCTCAGAGGGGTCTCTGTGCCCCCTGTGATCAACTGTGGGCTCCATAAGGGTGGGCAGTACATTGGACTGTGTCATCACTTTCTACAGGCCTTGTGGCGGGGGGGTGGGACATCATGCTTGGCACACAGTTGGCACTTACTTCCTGCATTTGTAGAACTGAACAAAAAATAAGAGCATAAATGACAGTGACAATAATCACAGCTCCCATTTTTGGAGTGACTGCTGTGTTTCCTGCACTGGTCTTATTGCTTTTCATTCACTATCTCGGTTTATCTTAAGGATAACCCTAAGAAGCTGGTGTGACTGGCCCATTTTTCAGATGAGGGAACTGAGGCCCAGGGAAGGCTAACTATAGTAGCCAAAGGCAGGCTTGAGAAAGAGGGGAGCCCTGACTC